ACACAAAATCGCTCTTATAAACATTTATATAGCCACACATAATCTGACAAATATCAATCGCGGTTAAAAACATTGTACGCATCACAAAAAAATAAAGTTAATTTTGTCACAATGAACAAAACATAATATTAATTTTGCATCAACCGGATTATGTTTATATTTAAATTATAGTGACTAACATTTCTTTCTATTCTACTTATTATGTCTATGATTCTAGTAGGCGCATCTCTATAGATGCAATCAAAGTAATTGTTTTTCTTACACATTTCCATCATTTTGTTACGTATTTGTGGCCTAAGCCTCTTTTTTGGTAGGACTTTGTTAATTTCTTCAATGGAATTAAGTCGTAAAAAATATAGTTATATGCAAATTCGAACTATATATATTGTCATGTTTCTAACGTGGCGCATCATTTCTTGACTTTGATGAATTATTGCACGTATTACTGCATTTGAATCTTCATGAAATAAATAACAATTTTCAGTTATAACTGTTCTTTGATATTCATATTCTTGCACAGAGTTCTTGTTTCTGATGGTAATTTTGCCTTCCCAACAACTTCTCTAGGTTCCATCTTAGTTTCTAATCTTCATCACTTTTGTAATTGTTTTAATTCGGCAAGGGCAACTTGGAAATTATCCAGCAAACTGAAAAGATATAATAAAAAACTTTTAAAGGCGTTCTTCATGAATGTGCATTCAAAAATGTAATGTGCGTTTTTGTCTGCACGCCTTCGGTTCGTGAGATAAACATTTCCACTTGTGCGGAATATGCTTTATTATAAACGAGTTCCAGTCTATACTTTTTCTAAGACTAAAATTCAGAAAAACAACTGTCAAGATAGCGCTACTTGTGACCATTTTAACACTAGTGAGAATATTCTCGCACAGTGTTACAGAATATGAGTATTCTGTAATTAAAATCAACCAAGAAAATTGTTATTTTGTAATCGTAGAAAATATACTATTCTAGACGCACAGAATACGATTGGAACACAAAATCGCTCTTATAGACATTTATATAGCCACAGATAATCTGACAAATATCAATCGCGGTTAAAAACATTGTACGCGTCACAAAAAAATAATATCAATTTTGTCACAATGAACAAAACATAATATTAATTTTGCGACAACCGGATTATGTTTATATTTAAATTATAGCGACTAACATATCTTTCTATTCTATTTATTATGTCTATGATTCTAGTAGGCGCATCTCTAGTTTTCGTACGTCAATGCTCGGTCGATCTTTCAGATGTGTTTCAGATTTCCTGTGTAGCGAGTCAAGTTGACGCTGCATTGCAGCTGTCAATTCGAAAATAAAAAAATCTGGAATATATTCTCATCAATTTGAAGAAAATTAGAAGAAACTTTTCATAAATTGAGCAATATTCCGGATTAAGTTAAGTTTTGTTGTCAGTAATCGGCAACTGGATCACCACATTTCCACTTTTAGGTTAGTAGTCATATTTCTCTCATACTGAATAACTGTACTTAGAATCCTTTCACAGAACATCTACTTTTATCTCAGAGGTGAATGTTCTATTACTTCTATTATTAAACAATGGCAAGGGGACAACAGAAGTTGCAATCACAAGCTAAAGCACAAGAAAAGGCTGCTAAGGCCAAAAAGCAGCAAGGCCATAGTGCTACTGACCAGAAAAAGGCAGCCCAGAAGGCTTTAGTGTACGTTTGTACCGTTTGTAAGGTAAGATATTGAGCCTATTTGGTTTTCTTTGATTGCATTGTGATTTTTAGGCCCAAATGCCTGACCCCAAAACTTATAAACAACACTTTGAGAATAAACATCCCAAGAGTGAAGTGCCTGCAGAATTGAAAGACGTATGAAATTTTCAATTCGCGTTTAACACCATCTGTGTTTCACTGTTAGAGGGACACTTTTTGTTGTTATGGTTCTTGAGTTACTTCTGCCTTCATTTCATTCATTTGGCTATTTTTAAAGTTGTTCTCAGTTAAAACTACTAAATAAGTCTGTTCACCACAAAATTCTATGATTATTAAAATATATTTTAAAAATTAAAATTTCAAGGATTTTGCTCTGCTTCAAGGTATATTCAAATTAAAACTTTAAACACTGCCCTGTTTTTAAGTTTGTGCTATATGTGCCTATTCAGGACAAAACAAAATTTGAAAACCTTGTAGTTCTTTTAAAAAAATAACATTTAGTTAGCTCTTCATTTGAAGGACACACAGTTAATTAAAGTTGTTTCATTAGCAGCTAAAAATTGGGGTGTTTTTTTTTGATTTAGACAATAATGCAACAATCACGACAAAACAAACAGGTGTCAATATAAAAAAAAATCAGAAAAAAAAACACTTAATTTTTTTTTTAACTATTTTTATTAATTTTATATTATAATTTCTTAATCCTTCTCTTTGTGGACTCGGTAGAGGTGGACTAGGTGAACTACCATCCATCATTGATGACGATGGCGAATCAGTGCAAGAATAAAACAACAATTACAAAATTAAAACTATTGTTTTGTTTGGTAGCTTGGTAGCTGGTATATTCTGCATTGGTAAAAGTGACATATACAAATTTTAAAATAGATGGTGTTAGTGAGAGTCTACAGCCCCTCACTTGAACCTCTATTCGACCCAAAGAGACACCGTTCAATCACACTTGAGCATTTTGTATAACAAAACATATTATTTCTTCAGATGTGTTGTTTTTTTTCTTCCGTCTGTAAAAATCTGAAGAGGTCAATATTTTTGACCAGACTTACTTGACAATTGAAAAATTTGTATGTATAAAGATTACAGCTTTAGATCTTCTGGTTTTTGGAGTTAAACCTCGGTGAGGATACCACAATAAAAATCTTGCTGTCTACATTTGATTTGTCTGATTTATTAATTTTTTTTTTTTCTAAACTCTAAATCGTAAAGGAACAAACCCAATTTTTTAGCTGCTAATTAAATAACTTTAGTGAACTGTGTTCTCCATTTAGTTATTTTTTTAATACAAACAGGTCACAACGTTGTGATTTGTCCTGAAGAGTACAAACTTAAATAAACAAGGCAAAGCTTTTTTAAACATACCTTAAAACAGGGCAAAATTCTTGAATTTTAATTTTTAAAATATATTCCAACATTTATAGGATAGATAGATTTCACACTTAAGAATCACTTTGTGGTGAACAGACTTTTTGGTAGTGTTAAATCTTAATTTGTATTTATTGATGATCATGCTGTTATTCAGATGGTTTGTATTTTTTATTCCTACATTTGTACTAATAAACATGTTTGACCAATCTCACATTTTTTACTCCCGCTAATAAAAGATCATTTCAATTCTTAATCACTTTTTATTTAATGATTGTTGTCGTAATGGATGTCATTGTAAGTTATACATAAAATCATTCACTGAGAAATTTACAAATAATTCTGAGCTATTTTTAGCAATTTCTTGCTATGAACGCAAGAGAACTAGCTATAATTACAGCTTTTAAAACTACAAAGATAGTCTCGAAATTGTTAATAACTAAACAATAACATAAAAAATAATATATTTTTAATTTAGAAAAGTTATAAAACAAAACATTTACAAAATAATTACATTTGGACTTGACCAATGAGTACGCTTACACCTAAAAAAAGCAAAATAAATCGACGTCACTTTTGATTCAGCTGACTTGAACACTATTCAATTTAAGTACGTCAAATTTACATAATTTGAAATAAAAAATAAATATCAACTTGTGTACAAAAGAGTACGGAAAAATCAACAATTTTTTCTAGTCAGACACACAACATTCAAAAGAAATAATTGTACAGTAAAAATAAAAAATCTAAAGTCATGATTAGAATAATAATTGCAATAAAAGTTAAATTACATTATGGACCACACAAAGTGCATTCACATCCACTCACACGCATACATCTATCTATATTATACACTAGAACTAAATCAGGAAGTCTGTTGCTTCAATTGTGCAAGTTTCGCCTTCACGCTTTGAAATGTCGGTCTTTTCTCCGGACTTAAATCCCACGCCTTAAAACAAACACATTTTATATAATCCAAAAAACAGGAGAAAAATTACCTGTCTCATAATTTCATAAACTTCCGAAGGACAGCCTTCTGGAGCCTCCATTTTGTATCCTTTTTCTACATGCTTGACGACATCAGCAAGAGGCTGAAAAAAATGTTTTGTAACGTGCAAAAACCATCGCAACGACTTACTATTCTCGGGTACGGAACTCTCCCAAAAGAATAAATTTCCCATAAGAGAATCCCAAAGCTCCACATGTCCGATTTGTTAGAGAATATCTGAAAACACAGTTATTTATCATGAAATTAGATTAATTGTGTCTTACATTTCGTTTCAAAGCTTCTGGAGCCGTCCACTTGATCGGCAACTTCGCCGATTCCGACATCGGATTCATTTCATTTCGCGCTAATCCGAAATCGGACACTTTCGCTACCCCATTTTCAGCAATGAGTACATTTCTAGCAGCTAAATCCCTATGAACTACATGCATTTTCTCTAAATACTCCATGCCTGAACTCGTATCGAAAGCAAAATTGATTTGATCCTTTTTCGTGACATGTAAACGCCCTCTCGATCTCAAATAATCAACTAAACTTCCTTTACTCATATATTCCGTCACCAAATAAATCTGATCTTTCTTTCTCACAATTCCCAATAAATTCACCAAATTTTCGTGATGAAGAGATTTCATCAAAATAGCTTCCGCTTCGCTTGAATCCTTTAACACCTTCACCGCCACCTTGTTTTTCTTCCATTTACCCAACATCACCTCGCAAAATTCGCCTTTACCGATTGGCTCGCAAATCTTAAAAAGCAAACACGTGACCAAAAACGCGACCCATGATTGGAGGAAACTCACCTCGAGCTCATGTTCAGAAATGACGCACAGGTCGTCGTTTTCTTTTGACTTTTCGTTGCACAACGCTTTAACTAATTTCGTACAAAGACCGTCGGCATCGTTTTTGTAATGTTCGATCATGTCTTCGAGATTATCAAAAAACTCCTCGTCGTCGATTGTTAATTTACCACCGTTTGATTTTACTCTATAGTGTTCAACTTTTTTATCGTAACACACACACAGAGTATAATCGCCCGGAAAATTCGTTGATTCTCGTACGAGAAAAAGTCCATCGGTCCGTTCTGACAATAAATTTTCAGCATTTTCTCGAGAAATGTTACCGTGAAACCAACTCCTGTACCAGAATTATTAGATTTGGGAAAAATTCATTAGTACAAACTTACGGTGTTGTACTGAATTTTGAATTTGGTCTCATTAGACTGGGGACATGGTTAACGTTGACGTCATGGCGGACATTTTTAAAATTGTTACAATCTGAACTTATGTTCATGTTATTAGGAGATCTTAAACATTCGTGCTTGATACTGTTGTCCATTTGTGACGCCACTTCTTGGGACGCCATCTGAAAAAAAAACCATATTTCTCAAGCTCCGCCCTGTGGACTTCTCAGATCGGACACGCCCACCATCTCCTCAAAAAAACTATTTCGTTTCTAATTGTCACTATTGATGACATAAAAGTACGCACAGTGATTTTTATTATTTAGCAATATATCAACGTCCTTAAAGACTCATCCAAGTCATGAATAATTCGTCGCGAATTCATTTGAATAAATTTCAATGAAGCAATTGCATTACAATATAGGAAAAAAATTGAACTGTAAAAAAATCTCGCGTACTTTAGAATTCTATTCAAATTAGTGATATAATTAATAAGTTAAACGTAATAATATGCAATTGTAATGACATAATGATTTCAAGGCTGCGTTATGTCATGTTAATTTCCTTGTGTTATTTACGGTAGACACTTTGTCCTCAACAATGCGACGGTCTGTCGGATTTGCGCATCAATTTAAAAATTCATCGCAAAAATCACGTCGACTTTCTATGGTTTTAATTGGATAGAATGATGGGAAACCGACCCAGACTGAAAGTGTGGGACCCATTGTTATTTTCACTTACCCAGGAAGGGTCATCATGTGGACGGAAAACTTCGCTAGGGGTGCTCCTCTTGATCCCCCTTGCAGGAACTGTGGGTGGATGTGAAGTGGTCATGGGTTCCCATTTATCGTCTGTTTGTTGACTGTAGTCAAAAATGTGTTGATATCTCTGCAACGACACCAAATAATTTACGTATTCAATACGCGATGGATTTAAATGACGTACCTGAGGAAATGGCGAGTTTTGGCTGGTCATCACTCAAGAACCACTTTGACTCAACACATACTCACTGAAACGAAAAAATTAATAACGACCACTTTCCTAGCCCCTTCACGCTCATTTTATTTCACTATGCAACTAAATCGTTGATAATAAATAACGGAAATGAATAATACATTTCTATCAAAATTAACAATTTTGGTCACGTAAACTTTCCAAAATTTAATGGTTCACTACTCACAAATACGTATAGGACTGACTAAAGCCCTTCTAAATTCAACGCCAACAAAAATTTTTACAAAATATTGCCAAATGTATTAATATAAATCACTGACCCATTAAGGTGCATTTTTAGCAAAATCACTAAACAAAACACCAGTGCACTTAAAAACTCACCAAGTTTTTTAAAACACTTCCACTGGAACATTTGGAAGCATCGCTGATTTATTTTTTATGCGCAAATTGGGTTAAAATTTCAAAAACATACATTAAAATGTCAATCCCTAACCAACAACAGCCATTTTGTTTTTGTAAAGTGTTGATAAAGTAGGTCCCAATAAAGAGAAAGTTATCACATAGGCAACACATAATACACGTTTCAAAAATTTAATCACAAAACGCTTATCAGGAATTATGGTCAAAAGCCGAGTATATGTTTGAGGGTAAAATTTAAAAAAAAAACAAGTTTAATATTAGTTGCGTATTTATTATAAGAAAACTTGCTACAAAGAAAAAAAAAATATATTTTTCTCACCGGAAGCATCTGAAACAAAAAAAATGTCTTAGTACCTGAACAAATCTATATTATTTTTAATTTTAACAAAAACATTTTCAGTTCATTTTGTAACATCAACTTGTTTCAGTCGGGAAAAGAAGACAAAAAATAAATCATCATTGATTCAATTGACAACACAAAAATAATAAAAATAAATTACCTATGACTTAATGTGGCATTAACGTTCAGCATTCATTCCTCTGGGGTATATTGGCTGAAATAGAAAAAAAAAGCTTGTAAAACCAATTAACAACATTGTACGCATTTTTTTAAATCGACATTTTTCAGTGAATAATTTTTACATCAAAATGTTCAGTCGGGAAAAGAAGACAAAAATAAATTCATCACAATATAAGTTAAACGATACTATAAAATAAAACCAACTTACCATACGAAAACGCCACAGATGGAACAAATGTTATAGTTCAGTAGAAAGGTAATTCACTTCTGAACTACCTTAGGGTAAGAAACTATAGTTTTTCTTGCAAGGTTATCACACTGGTTAAACAAGAATAATTTAACCAGCTCTAGAACTTGCGTAAATCTGTTAAAAAATAATTAAGTAAAAGAAACACAATTTAGCATCAACCAATTTTATTCCTGAAAAGTTATTTTATAAAACTTTATTTTTGCGCACTGTGACTGCTGGATTTGCTGTCGCGAAGACTAGCAGATCTGCGCCTCTTCATCTCCTCTTTCTTGGCCTTTGATTCCTTCTTACGCTGGGCTAATAATTTAGCGTAATTATCTGATTGCTCCTTACGCCTCAAACAACGCTTCTTCTTCAAGGCCAACCTATGACGCTTGCGCTAAAGAAGAACAACAAAACAAATTTAGAACAAATTCATTTAAAACCGTGAAAACTGTATTTGTGATATTATTGACAACACAAGTCGTCAGAGTAAATATCACACAATTGATTTACCACACACATGAACGCTTCTTTAGTTAGGAAAAACACTAAGAAACTGCCTGAGTGTGGCTTTTACTACTACAAAATTACCTGCAAGACAACGGGTGTGATCAAACGTTGAATTTTAGGCGCCTTGAAGCGTTGTTTCTTGCCTTCTTTTTGTGGCAAGGGGCGTTTTACCACATATTGACGAACGTCATCTTCTTTGCTCAGATTGAAAAGTTTCCTAATATTTGACGCTCTCTTGGGTCCCAAACGACGCGGGACAGTGGTGTCAGTCAATCCAGGAATTTCCTACAACACAATTAATCACACAATGCTCTACAATAAATAGGTAAAAAAAATGTACGAGTGACAATTCCACGTCAATTTGGAAAAATTGACGTGTGGTAAGTGACTACAATGTTATAGCAGTTTCAAATCACACACAACTTTACACAATTGGGTGTTTATAAACTGCAACTTTGCTAAATAAATAACGCACCTGTTCACCTTTACGCACAATAACGAGGGCAAGTACGCTCAAATTGCCATCGACAATGCATCCTCTGACCGATTTGCGTTTTCTTTCACCGTCACGACGGGGTCTGTAGCAGGAATGACCCTTTGAGAGAAGAAGGCGAACACGGCCTTAAAACACAATTTTAAACAAAATCAAACACTTTCGAGATAACTCACTGTTCGTGAGAACACCCTGTTTCATCGGAAATCCTTGTTTGTCATTTCCACCTGATATTCTAAGAACGTAGCCCTTCCATTCATCTCCCAAGGGGTCAGCCTCAACTTCCTGTCCCATCCGCTTTTCATAGAAAATACGGATTTTATGTTCGTCGACGACTTCGAATAATTTTTGACATCCTGTCGCAGGAAAGGACACGTTTAGCTGAAAAAACAAATAGTTAAATGATTGAGGTTATGTCAGACATACGTGTATTAACACGCAAATATCGAGAAATATTTAGACCATCTTCCTGTTACCATGTGATAATTTAACCGGAGATGGTGTCTTCTGCATTATGCAAGTAATAAGTGTTCATATTTTTGCAAAAAATTAACGAAAACAGTGCTTTTTTCATAAACTTACCTTCATGATGCTTCCATATATCTATGCACCCGAAGCTAGAAAGAAATAAACAAAGATGAAGAGACTGGGAGACAACAACACGCAGACGCAAGCGGTACACATTTTGCGCATGCGCAATTTTAAAGTGCTAAAGGGGTGTATATTTTAAATAATTGCATTTTCTAAAAAGAAACTAGTGTATTTTTTAATTGTTTTTATTGTTGTTTTATAAGTAACAATGTATTGAAATCATGTTGAAATCTGGATCTTTTTGGACTCAACCTGACTCTGGTGGCGTCGACAGCCCACTTTCTTACATATTGTAGGCGTACAAGGAAAAACAATTAAGTCCAGACGGTAGTCGTTGCCCCCTGGGACAAAAGTGGTTGCTATTTTATAAAAAAAAAGTTTTTTTTGATATTTTACAAACTCGTTCCAACTTAAATTTTTACGAACGAAATAAGAAACTACTATTTACATTTTTATAACGAACTGAAAACAGACGAATGAAACTGTTATTATTAATTTCGACTCTTTTTTTGCCCACACCCGTTCAAAAATCTATAATTGTGGACTTAATTGATTTTCCTTGTACGCCTACAATATTGAAATCATATTTCTGGTTCAACATTGTCCTCTTCCTCATCTTCTGGATATTCATCATCAACTTCGGCATCCTGGAAACAAAAAAATTATAAATATTTTTTTAATTTTTTCAAGTCCTTAAAACCATTTTTCCAAGTCATCCCAGATTAGATATTTACCCAGATCGTAATATTTACTTAAGATTTTTTTTTATTGATATGTTTTGATCAGATTAAATGATTGATTCTTGGAACACTTACTTGATACTGCTGATACTCTGAAATCAGGTCACTCAAGTTGCTTTCGGCCTCTGTGAATTCTTGTTCATCCATTCCTTCTCCTATATACCAATGCACAAATGCTCTGCGTTTAAACATGACTGAAAACTGTTCATGTATGCGTTTAAATAATTCTTGAATGGCAGTAGTATTTGCAATGAAGGTTGAGGAAATGGGAGAATGTGGTGATGGTACATCACAAACAGCCGTTTGTACGTTATGTGGAATCCATTCTACGAAATAAGACGAATTTTTGTTTTGGGTTTCAAACATGACATGGTCTATCTCTTTCATTGAAACCGGTCCTCTGAATATAGTAGCAACAGTTAAATATCGTCCATTTGCTGGATTACAAGCTGCCATAATATTCCGAGGACTAAACATCTGTTCAGTCAAATCCTTGACACTTAATTTCCTGTAAGCAACACTTCCCGGAGCTGTCAATGGAGCAAATCCGGGAACAAAGAAGTGTAGGCGTGGAAATGGTACCATGTTTACCGACAATTTCCTCAAGTCAGCATTCAATTGACCCGGAAAACGGAAACAAGTTGTTACCCCAGACATTGTCAAAGAAATCAAATGGTTCAAGTCATCGTAATTCGGCGATGATTTTTTCAAAGTGTTAAAACAAATGTCATAGAGGGCTTCATTGTCGATACACTGCGTCTGATCAGTGTTTTCGATCAATTGCTGAACGGATAAAGTCGCATTGTAGGGTTCCAGTACCACTTCTGAAACTTTCGGTGATGGTACCACGCTGAAACTTGTCACCATCCGATCAGGGTAGACCTCTCGAACCTTAGAAGTGAGTAAAGTACCAAAACCAGAACCAGTACCACCACCTAAAGAGTGAGTAAACTGGAACCCTTGGAAACAATCACATCTTTCAACCTCATGTCGGATTACATCCAACACGTTTTCGCAAATTTCGGCACCTTCAGTGTAGTGCCCTTTAGCCCAGTTGTTGCCGGCACCACTTTGCGCAAAAACAAAATTGTTAGGATTAAAGAGGGTACCAAGAGGGCCGGCTCGCACCGTATCCATAGTACCGGGTTCCAAATCCACGAGAACAGCTCTAGGGACGTAATTGGCATTTTCAGCTTCGGTAAAGTAAACGCCAATTCGTTCCAATTGGAGATCATTATCACCCACGTACTTGCCAACAGAGTTTATGCCATGTTCATTTGATATGATATGCCAGAACTAGAAAATTAATTATCGCCATTACGCAATACGTATTTTTAGAACAGGGTACGTACCCTTGAACCAATTTGGTTCCCGCACTGACCTACTTGGAGATGCACAATTTCACGCATTTTTACTTGCCTTTCGGAATTAATTTGCACAAAACTGCAAATTACTCACTCACTCGAGTGTTAAGCCGCAAACATGGCTAATCAACGATAAGATAAAGTTAAAAAAAATCCTATCAGATACGAAAAAAAGATTTATTTATTCAATAATCAATTAAATTAATAAAATATTATAATCTGTATTAATAAACTGAAAAAAAGTTGAAATTGTGGTTGCTTTCCACCCAAAATTATTTTCTAAATACATATAGGTAATAGTGCATATTAAAGTTGGTTCCTTATCACAAAACAAGTAAAATTGTATAAAAATGAGTCATAATACTCTATTCTAATGTTAGATTTTAATGTAAAAAACTGTAATGATGCAATAAAATGTTTAATACTACGAAAAATGTTTTTAAAGTGAAACTTTTTATACATCGCTACAAAATTTTTAATCTTTTGATAATTTGTGCAAATTTAAATTTCATAGTCGCGCGGTTTGAGTCCCTGCTTCCGTTTCTTGAAAATCTCGGTATTCTTTCTAAATAAAAAGTAAAACTGCATCTCCATTCTGCCTATTTAATTAAAAATTAAAACATACATCAGAGACCGTCAAAGATTAATTAAACAAAAAAGTTTTATTTTGTCCGAGGTTATGTTTACGGTTTCTTGAAATAGGAAACTAAGGAAACATAACCCCATTCTTTGGAATTTGTTTAAATCAAAACAACCAAGCAAAATGATAGTTCCCGAGTAAATTTCTTATTTACGAGTCGAATTAAATTGATTAATTTTTTCTAGTGAAGTTGTTGTTGAGGCCCTGCTCAAAGACGCCCGCAAATTCAAAAGCAAGTGGGAATTACACACCAACGAACCGTCTAGAAATAAACCTAATGTGAAGTTTTTGAAAAGGACGTTATCTAATGTTGTTAAAACAAATCAGAACCGAATGCGAAGACCCAGAGAAGCAGAAAGTGTTGAACGTGAATTACGTCCTTCTACAAGTAAACAAAGGCATGAAAAATCTCAACTATATCAGCCTTCAACTAGTTCTAAGAGGTCGCCAAGACAAGTCTCTCCTCCGCGGAAACGCCCAAAAAAATCGAAAAGTTGTTCAAAATCAAAATATAGGTCCCCTGAACGGAAAAGTAGATCTAAATCTGAAAAAAAATCTTCAAGGAGTTCATCCAAGTCAAGACGCACACCTAAGCGATAATTTTGTCGATTGTTTTTCCTGTTTTGTTTTGTTGTACCCTCAAATGGGTTAAATAAATTTCTAATTAAAACATACAACTATTCATTTCTGTTCAAGCCGAGTTTCATAATAGCAAATTTTTGTAATTTGCCGTTGGATTTAGTAAGTACTACCAATCTTAGCGCAACATTGTTAAAAAGTAAATACATATTAAAATAAAATACTCTTTCAAATTAAATGTTAAATTTAATCCCTCGTGTCATTAAAAATAAATATTTTGTTCCCTGTATCTCCAAAACAAATAAGGGAAAAAAACTGGTGGAAAATAAACAATGGTTGGTGATTAAAAGAAATTCTCGTGATTTCTGTACAATTTATGTTAAAAAATTATAAACTTTATCTGTTGTCAAAACTTTCTCCACCGGCCAAGGGGTGGTACGTTTAAACAATTAATTAAAATAAAAAATATTTTGGCATCGCTTTTTTTACAACCTTTAAACATTCATCAATTCATTAAAAAAAAAACGAATAGTTTATTAAAAAAAATTCTTTAATACTTGTAAGTCAAACATTTTTTTAACAAAAAGTGTTAGGTTTACAAAAAAAAAATTGCACAGCAACAATTCTTGTAACAAGCTCGTTCTCTATAAAAAAATTTGTGGTAGGTTTCCATTAAAAAAATTGTTAGTATGTTTATCTCGTAAGTTAAACAATTAATTTATATTCAATTTTTTTTTTGGAATAGCAATTTTATAGCCATTGTACACCTACAATTTTTTTGCCAAAAAATTGATAGTTTCGCCAGAAACTAAGCGTTCCCAGACTTCTGGACCACTATATATTTGGTCAAATGGTTACAAAAAAAAACAAATTTCCATATCCACGTTCCGAGGGCTGTAAAATTCTTATCAGTAGACATAGCACACGAGTTATTATATCAATTATCGTTTTATAGGTCATTTTTGAGGTTCAAATATTATTGGGGTTTGCTATTTTTCTGGAAAAAATGTTCATCTTTCCGCCACTGTAACTCGTTACACATTATACGTACAAAAAAAAAAGTTGATACAGAAAATATGAGGAATTTTTTCTTCTTTAACTTTTATCTGAACACTTTTGTCGTAGAATCAACCGCTGCGTAGTTATTTTAGAAAAACCGAGCGGTTCTCCCCCAAAGTCGAAAACTTGGATTTTTTGTCAAAGTTTAGACCTTAACAACATATTAAAAAATTACTACTACCCCACATTTTGTAGGGCAAAGGCCTTTTTTTGGCCCCTACTGACTGGACTATACCCAGATTGCTCGAAAATAGCTTAAATTGCTGAAGTACGTTGAACTGTGTCACAAAACTGCATTTTATGCAACTATTTTCAGTTACACAAAATGCTCAGTGTGACACCAAAATAGAAAAAAAGCTTAGTTTTATTTTTTGCTTTTTGTTTCCCGCTTTTTTCTTTATGTTTCTTAAGGTTTATCAAACCAGAAGTTTTTGCATGTTAAACTTTTAATTTCTAAATATACTAATAATAATCCTGAAATTTAAATTGGTTTTTGGACAATTTGACACAATTATTGGCACACGCTGAATTTTATCTCTTCTTTCCGTTCATTATTGTCTCAAAATCTATCACATAATTCCCCAAAATTCTAGAATTTGAAATTAAAAAAATAATAAAAACAAGAACTTGAAATCCAAATCAACTGTAATAAAAAATAAGTATAATAATAAATAATAAGTACTGGACAAAAACTCGAATCAGATGATAATTAGTGCTAAAATTATATTATTCTCCCCTCTCCCCACAAATTGCAAAAATTCATGTTTTTTCTTAATTCAAAGGCCTTCAACGCGTTTATCTAAAATTTTTACTCCCCCTTATCGGCGTTTTTACAATATGTGATTATCAGAGTCGAGTCAGATTTCGACCATTTCGTTAGTGTTAGTCTTTTAATTCGTACTAGTTTTGTCAATTTTATTATTTTAACTTTTTTGTGTTGTGTTTTAATTCGTTACATGGATCGAGGTATGTAACAAATTTATAAATCTAAAGCCTCAGTCATTTTATTCTCAACAGAAGTTCGCGCCTTGACGTCAGCATCCTTGTCGATTTCTTCGCACCTTAAAGGGGCATGCGACGGCTTCTTGCACATCCTGCAGGACTCCTTCATGCACTCGGGATTCAAACAAGTGAAAATGGTGTAGCCCTCAGCAGGAATCGTGGCGAAATCGCAAAATGGACACATTTCCAACTCCTCAATTCCTGCAGCTTTGATCTCCTCGAGGGCTTTCTTTTGGGCGATTTTCGAGAACAATTTCGGACTCAAAACGGCCTAAAATTCGTTTTATTCWAACACAACGACTTATCACCACCTACTTGTAATGTTTGAAGACTAAATGAGGATTCGCAACTGGCAAGACATGAAAAAAACAGTTTTCCTTCCCCAAAGGCCACTTCGACACTTTTCACAATACAAGATTTACAAAATTTGCAATTGTTTTCACACGTGTGGATGTCACGTGGGAGAACTTCCTCGTCGTAGCAACAATTACAAGTTTGCATTAAACCGCGATTTTTCGCTTCTTCACGTTCCAAATTTTCGCGTTTTTTCATTTCGGTGAGATAATGGGTGATTTCTTATTAATTGATCCTGCAGGACTCCTTCATGCACTCGGGATTCAAACAAGTGAAAATGTTGTAGCCTTCAGCAGGAATTGTGGCGAAATCGCAAAATGTACACATTTCTAACTCTTCAATTCCTGCAGCTTTGATCTCGTCGAGGGTGGATCATCTAGTCGTAAGTGATTTTTTTTTTAATTGAAAATTTTTAATTGGTTTTATTACCAGCTGGGGGGACAACATGCTCATTACCACCATAATCATCGGCTCCATTAATTATAAATATTTTTACCAGTTGAATACATTTATTTTACTACGATTGTGGTTTTATTTCTTCTCCTTTTTCATAACTTTAGTGAGAAAAATCGGTCAAAGGACGTAACGTTTAACAAGTTGATAAATACCGAGTGTTTCAACATTAAAATTAAAGGCTACATCCAAAAATGTCAAAAATTGTTTGATGTTTCAGACGACTCTACCAACTCGCTGGAACAGCCTGTATAATAAATGCAATGCAAGTTCATAATTGACCAAGGGCATTAATAGATTAGAGATGATATTTCAAGATAAAATTAATGCCAAATCAAGTCAAAAAGACTTAAATTTTCTCATTAAAAACAACAAAATAACCCCACCTCTAAGATTTTTATCAAAATTTTTGGCGATTTTCCGTTACTGACTTTACGTTTTCATATTTTACAATAAAAAAGCTCTCATGCTTTTATGCTTATGCGTGTTTGTGTTTATGCTTACTACGTATGTACATGTTTTAAAGTTCCTGCTATTATGGCTTCTTTTAACATTTATTTCAAATAATAAAATTTCAATTTGCATTATAGAAAAATTGCCGATTTTTGCGGGACTCGAACCCTAGTTTTGCTTTCATGTGTTTTCACGACGTTTTATGCACTTTTAGACCCCGTGAAATGGATTTCGAAAAATTTTGAAGTTTTCAGTTTTTAGATTTTTAACAAAATTTTGGTCAATATAACAATATTTTGTTCACTGTATCTCCAAAACAAATAAGGGAAAAAAACTGGTGGAAATAAACAATGGTTGATGATTAAAAGAAATTCTCGTGATTGCTGTATTCTCGCTATGCTATATTCTCGTCTGAGCACTAGACCCGTCAAGTTGCCTGTCAAGTGTCAAATTGACATTTCTGATTTTAAGGTTAAAAATTTTTAAAACAAAAAAAAATACTTTCCGTTTGAAACTTCTGTGATATCGGCTCGTGATTTTACTAATAGTATTAAAATGTGGGTATTTGGTTATGGTTCTTTGATCTGGAAAGTAGATTTTCCCTATGAAGAAAAAATTGTGGGTTATATAAAAAACTTCCAAAGACGGTTTTACCAGCACAGTACTGACCATCGTGGGATTCCTGGGAAGGTAAAAAATGTTATTTTAAAATACAGTTGTTATATAATTAATAATTAACAGCCTGGCCGAGTTGTGACCTTGGTACCAGGTGATGAAACAGTAAGTGTCAACATTTTTTTTACATACGTTGCCTTATTTTAAAAATTACAGGACCGGGTTTACGGAATTGCTTATAAAATTAGCGATCAAGAAAAAGAATCGGTTGTGAAGCATCTTGATTATAGGGAAAAAGGCGGCTATGTGAGAACTCCAGTCTTTTTTTATCCTAAAGATAAAGGGAAGCAACCTTTTGAGATAATTATTTATGTAGCAAATGATGATAATCCTCAGTATGCCGGTCCTGCGGATGCTGACAGTATAGCCAATCAAGTAGTGAAATCTGTAGGTCCTAGTGGCACAAACATTGAATATGTGTTCAACTTAGCTAAAGCCATGAGGGACATCGCACCAGAAGTAAACGACGAACATTTGTTTACCATTGAACGAAAAGTCCAAAATTTACTGAAATTTAACACTCCAGAGTCATTTTCTAGATCATTGAATTAAAACACTCATTATTAGGAGCATCAATTTATTGCAATTTTACCTACAGTTAAGTTTACGTTTCATTACAAATTAAGCTCTAGTTTTGTACAAATACAATCTCAAAGTACCTCAAAATCACAGTTAACCATCAAGTAAATGCAGTTAGTTATTTCGGGGTTTTGAAACGTCAACATTGACTAAAGCTCACCTAATTGTGAGGTCAATTTAGCGCAAGCAACATTAATTTTTTTGGCTCCTACACATTAAGTACTTTAATTTGTTGCTAAACTTGGCCAGAATGCTCCATAAGGAATGTAGTGTTAATAAAAATCAAAAATTATTTAATTTGTTTGTTTTAAAACCTTCTCTTCTACAAATGATTTCAGCTGAGCATATGCATGGTCTAAATTATCATTAACGACGATAAAATCGAAATTATTTTCGGTTCCTGTAATAAAAAAAAAAAACAATAGGAGGCTTAATACCAACGTTTTATTTACCGTATTCCATTTCTTCACTTGCAACTTTCAATCTATGGGTGAGACTCTCCTCAGATTCGGTTTTGCGCGCCGTCAACCTGTTCTTTAACTCCTCCAAATTTGGAGGTTTTATAAACACATAAAAGGGGTTCAGGTCAGTCTTCTTGACCTGTTTCACCCCCTGGACGTCAATATCAAGAACACATACTTTCCCCTCTTGAATCACTCGCTCAACTGCTGCTTTACTTGTCCCATACATATTCCCGCAGAAACTGGCACTTTCAATAAATTTCCCATCATTGATCGCCTGCTCCATCTCCTCCCTTGTGGTAAAATGGTAATGCTGACCGTGCACTTCACCCGGACGGGGCTGTCTTGTCGTATGACTGATACTAAAACCGAACTTATCTGGAAAGTCCGCCATCATCTTCTTCACAAGGGTGCTTTTGCCGGACCCTGAAGGCCCACACAGGACTAAAGGCCGAGGATTCTGCAAACCAGACATCCTGGCCAAACCTACAAAAATTGTAACACAACACCATCAATCGGGGGCAACAAACCTCTTAGTAGAAAAATGGTGAAAAAAACTTAAATATCAAACGGTAAACAGTGAACACAGACTATTGCACGTGTTTGAAATGCCTAAACAATTTTTGCACAGGGAGGTTTGTTTTTTGTGGTTAGGATGCAGCGCGCCAAATTCAAATAAACGAAGGAATATAAAAAATTGTGGTATATCCACTTCAAAAAACAGAATAAGACTGACTGAACAGGCCCTAATTAATTTGCGTGTGGCTTTCTTTAATTTACGATTATTGTGTCTTCGTGTTTACTTACTAATTAGTTTAATGAGAAGTCAAGGAAACACGAAACCTTTATTGATTGTTTTTAAAATAGAAGAAGGGTTTTTTGAGATTAGAGATTATAAGGTCAGGATTACAAAACGTCTTATCAAAAATGTCGAAATTTTTAGATAATTTAAATTAAAGATGATGAATGATGATTGATGAGTCATTATGGTGCGCCCCCTGGTGTTGAGTATCAAATTGTGTGAGTTAAGGAGGGAGTGTGGTCCGTTTTACACTGGATTTTTGTTGTTGTGAGTTTGGTTTTGTGATTAATTCCCGTTTTCGTCACCGATATAAATTTCTGTAAACGTCATCCGTTAATAATGAATAGTTAAAAACAAAGGTAACCTACAAAGTGAATTTGGTTGTGAATTATTTTCGAATGGTTGTGGAGTGTGAGGTGAGCTATTAAAGGTCTCCCAATTCACACGAAATAACGGAATGTTATGATCTTAGTGAAATCACACGGTCTTATCAATTTAATGACTCAGTTTCACCTTAGACATTCCGTCACGTTAGCTTATAATATTCATTAGTAAAATGTGGATGCCAACACATGTACAAGTAACAGGTAAATAAATAAAAAAAGCATTAATTAATTTTTTAATGGGAATTGTGTTAATAGTTCAGCGAGCTGCAGGATTATTGACCAAAGGTAAAAACAAAACAAATGACTGCTTTGTGACAATTGCATTAGGAAAAACAAAATACCAAACATCCATAAAGGAAAAAGCTGACCCTGATGTCGAGTGGCACGAGGAATGCGAATTGTAGGCAAAACTCCCATCAAACTAATAAATATTCATTATTGCAAATTTTAGGCCAATTCCCGATCAAGGAAACACTGCTGAGATTATCTTAACAGCATTGCATCACAATAGTTTTGGAGTTGACGAATTTCTTGGCAGAGTAGCTATACCTTTAAACACTTTGGACATCTATGAAAGGCCCAAAAATAAATGGTACGGCCTTGAGGCCAAACCAGGTACGTTAACTTTATCATTTGACATTTGAATTAATCTAAATTGATCACTTATTCCTCTGACATAAACAAAATAGATGGCTTGACAGTTACGACCTTGTAACATTTACCGCCGCCTATTCAAAAGTTGTTAGCAAAGGTGCAATAATATTTATATTGGCACTAACTGTTTATGTTGTGTAAATGCGACCTTGCTATAGTAAACGGATCAAATTGCACTGAATGAATGTAAACAATGGAATCCTATTACACAATCAGCATTTACAATCACTCTCCAAAAGAACCACTTTTAGAGCAAACTTTTCGTCTTATCAAAGTGGCCTATTATTTTTAAATGAAGTTGGCAACATTGTGTTTTCCAATGTTGCCAACTTAAATTTAATGTCAAATTTATTTACGTTTTGTCAGGTAAAGTCGGTAAAGCGAAGGAGCGGGGCCACTTGGAAGTCAAAATTGGATTTACAGTCAAATCTGGAAGTCTCACCGACTTGAGTAAAAAAGAGAAACACAAGTCTTCGATTGGCCAGTTGTCCCATGTGGCCCAATCTGTGGGTGGTAGCTTGCTCAGTTTAGGGAGCGCTGAGAAACGTAAAGGAATCAAAAAGTTCGCCAAGTCAATCGGGTCGAAAATGCACCTCAGAGGAAAGAAAAAAGACGGAGATTTGGACGACAGTTCTTCTATTGGTAGTGTCGGTAGTTTAAAACGTAATTTTGACAAATTCAAAAGTCGACAAACTAAGGAAGACGCCGATCCGGGGGTTGTGAGTGACGAGGATGATTTTACAGTGAGTCTAGTCAAACTAATCGCGTTGTCAAACTAACTATGTTGTTTTAGTTTGACGATTTATCACACAAAAGTTCAGTCAGTTCGTTAAACCAACCGACTAATCACAATAATTCTGTTTCTTCCACTGAGAATATTTCCGGAGACATCTTGAATAAAACACCGCCGGTTAAACCCCCAAGAAACGAAAACAAGCCACAGGACGAATGGGAGTCGAAGTTGTTCGGTAAACAGACAAATAAAAGTAAGTCATGTCATTTTTTCTGGCAACGATTTAAATAAAACTGTTTAGATTTACTTAAACCGGCGAGTAGTGAATCTCTGAATCGCCGGTCGTGGGATTCCTCTAAGTTAGAGTCACAAATTGAGGAGGAACCCCCCGAAATGACTGTTACTAAAGACGATATTAGCGTAAATCCGACTAAAACACCCGAGGTTGTGAAAAAGGAAGAGCGAGACGGGATGTTGGCAAAGCTAAAGAATTTCAGAAAAGGTAAAAAGGATTTTAGTTTAGGCTAGTGGTGCATGCTCTATTTTTAGATAAAAATGAAATAGACTCGAAACGTAATAAACCAATCAGTAATTCAAGTGAACGTATTATTATAGGAGGAGAGAAGGAAGTCAATTATTCATCCAATAATCACATTTCCAACGAACTTTTGCAGAAGTTTGAAGGCAAATCGCGTGAAGTACGTACATGGTGGTTTAATAGTATTTGGTAATTGGTTTTTTACAGGACCTGATTCACCTAGTATGTAACCTACAGAGCGATTTGGAGTCACAAAAGAAGAAACTAAAAGACTTGGAAGACTATTTAGATGATTTACTTTTAAGAGTGATGGAGACAACTCCACGAATTTTACAAAATCCATACGTTACTTGTAAGTTATCACATAAAAAGTTGAGTGGCTTTACATGTGACAATACCATGTGGGTTTAATTAATTTACTTTTTCAGTGGTTAAATATTGAGGTTCCAGTGCCTGATTGAAACACGGTGCTAATCCCAAAAATCTGTTTTGTATAAACACTGTGATTGTTTTGGCCATTTGGACAAAAATTGATGTTTTTATTTAATCCGTCCATCGATTGTTCTTACCTTGATTATATAAAGCCAAATTAACTTCTCAGTATCTTTGCTTGTCTTCCTTTGACGTAATAATTTATTTCTGACTAACTTATTAATTTTATTAGAATATTACTGAACTGTTGTGGTGTTATGTAATCTATATTTTATATACGAAAGGGAAGAATAAATACAGTTGATGCAAAAAGAGTTTTATTTATCAGATCACAAATTCAGGAACAAGAGATAAGGATTTTCGATTTGTCGTTTCAAAGTTTGAACAAAACGGGCCATTGTAGCGCCGTCTATTATCCGGTGGTCCGCAGCCCCACTCAAATTTAGCACTTCGACGGAAACGATATTTTTCGAGTCGTCAAATCGGGGAAGTACCTGGGAAGCCCCGATTGCAATAATGGCCACTTGCGGTGGCATAATAACCGGTTTCATGTAAGTACCACCGATCTAAAATACAAGTATTATTTCAAAGTTGGTATCAAAAACAAGGTATTACAGCCCCAATATTCGATATTGAAAATGTCCCCCCTGACAAGTCCTGAGGTGAGAAATTACCGCTCCGACCTGATTTGATAAGTCGATTCAATTCGTTACTAATTTCAATAATACTAAGTTTTTCGACATTTTTTATCACCGGAACGGCTAATCCGATTTTCGTATCCATGGCGATTCCTATATTATGCTCACTTTTATAAGTAACATTTTCACAGTTTTCATCCAACGTTGAATTCAAAGCTGGGAAACGCAGCAAAGCATTGGACGCCGCTTTGATAAAAAACGGCATGAAAGAAAGTTTCAAGTCTTGCGTTTCTGGAAGTTTTTTCAGAGTTTGTCTTAGTTGCGAAAGTTGCGTTATTGCGATTTCGTCACTGTAGACAAAGTGGGGGATTTTCTAAAATAATGAAATGAGGGAAAAATTGCGAAAGCGGGATTCGTACCAAAGCGTCGCTCATTGTTTTAACCATGGCCTTTTGGAAACCTTTAATGGGCTCGGTCCTGTCCTGCGAGGACCTTGTGGGAACCTTGGTCGGCTCGGGACCGGCTTGTAAATATTTCAAAACGTCTTCTTTGAGAATTCGACCGGATTTTCCGGTTCCTTTGACCTCCGATAAGTCCACCTGTGATTGTTTTCGATAAAATTGGGTAAAAACGCGACGCGACTGACCTTGTGTTCTTTGGCAAGTCTTCTAACTGATGGGATGCATAAAATTTCCGAAGTTGGTTTAACATCACTTATTTTAATTTCTTCAATTGGTGGTTTCTCTTCTTCGGGTGTTTGCACCTGTTCGGTTGGGGTTTCGCTTGTTTCAGACCCTTCTGTTTCAATGTCCACCAAAGGTTTTCCAACTGATGCAATCTCATCGATTTTGTAATGCAATTTCTTAATAATTCCATCATATCTGCTTGTGATTGTGACGGAAGCTTTGTCACTCTGTACTTCACAAATTTCATCAAATTGGGAGACTTTATCGCCGACTTTAACAAACCACTCTTTGACTGTTACTTCCCTTATGCCTTCTCCAATGTCAGATAATTTGAAAGAGACTTGTGCCGCATAACTTAAACTTGTGTGAAATTTCTTCAAATTCTAAATTATGAATGAAATAACGCTTGTCATTGACTGAATTAATGAACAAACTTCATACTTACGATTAGTTTAGTTGAACTGGTCACATTTTTAAAAAAAGTACAAAATTCCCTTGACAGCAACATGTTTTTAATTGTTTTAAATTTCAACTGATAATAATACAACTTGGGAACGCTTATCAACGAAAGTGATGGTCGTATTGAGTAATGAAATGTCCAGTCATTTAAATAATTGACGTTGTTTTTTTCTCTAGCACTAATTATAAATTTTCAAATTTCCCGCTAAGCCAATTAACACATTTTCGAAAAATACACCGCACACTACGTTTGTTGTAATTTATCCGAATTTTATCTCTTTGTGATAAGAGAAAGAGGCAAAGGTGAATCAACTCTGTTTTGAGGTCAACCGGTTTAAGTAAATTATTGCAAAAAGATTAAGACTTGCCATAAAAACATTTTATTTAAATTAAGATGACACGTTAACTATTGTTACAATAAACGCATCACAGATGACGTTGCGAAGTACATAGTTAATAAGTTTATGATAATTGATAATGTTATTGACAGAAACAAGAGATTATTAAACAACTATTAGTCAAGGTAAAAAAATAGATAATTTTATCAACACGGTGATAAATAAAAGGCTTAGGGTGTTAAAAAATGAAACAATGCTTTTATTCACAGTAACAAGTTTACTAAGAAATACAAAAATAAGTTAAATAAATAGCAAATAAAAAAGTTATATACAAAACTTAGATAGAAAATGTCATAGATTGTTCAGAGACGTAGCACAAGAGTCTGTAGCAGTAATAGAGAATCTTTAACACTTTAAAATATTGATATTTTAGTAACAATCAGTCATTTATCCTCCTTTTTGAAAATCAACAAACAAAACTAACAATAGATAAGTTTACAGGATTTCAAAAGCTTCGGTCCCCATATCATCACCATCAGTGCTACTATCCATGGAATATTCTAATTCAGAGGGAGGTAATTTTTTTGGAGACATTTGGGCATCACGGCTGTACCCATCACAGAATATGAACATAGGATATTCGCTACCGGGACTATCAGTTCGACTGGGAGGAATCACTAACTGCAAAAAAAAACATCAATTCTTCTTTTAACCAAAAATTTATCTCCTTACAGGCTGGACAATTTCAATAAGATTAAAAAAACTTTCTTTGGTAGGACAATAAAATCCGATACAACAAGACGGATCCATTTTACTTAAGTGTATTTTCCGTGGAGATCTACAGTGGAAACTTGTCAACGGAAAATCAACTGCCCAAACATCAACAACTTCCTGGCAGTAATGCGGATCCAAATGAATCAACTTATCATCTATGAATAATCAATAAATCAGTAACAAACAAGTTGCGTAATTGGATACAAACCTTGGTAACCCACAAAATACAAGGAATGTTTAGGACGCCCCCCTATTATACCTATACACTGTTTCAAGCTAAACAATGTCGTAAGACAAGGGGCGTAAATCGAGTTGAATTTTTCGGCCCCTAACCTAACCGGAATCAACAAAATTAGAGATTTCCACTTCCCGTTTTTATCCGTGCACTCCTCCAACACATCCTTGATGTAAACTATGAAAAAAATAAGTCAAAAAATAAAAAAAAAACTGCGGTGAAATTTACTCACCTGCGCAGTCTTGGGCCACACAAACTGTAAGAGAGTCAAATTCGTAGTTGTCCTCAGAAGCGCGCTTAAACGCTTGCCTGTAATTAACATTTAGTAATTTATTAACGGCAGTTAATTGATTTACCGAAAAAGATGTGCTACAAATCCAGGCCCGTACCAGTCCCCCGCTTTCTTCCCCGAGGCTTCGCCCAAGGCAACAAGTGTGTGAATCGAAAACGGGCTATTCCGCGACGGTTTATCTCCGAACCATTTAATAATTTTGCGATGGTTCACCACTTCAATGAAACTTTCCCTGGTTGTGGGTTGGTGATCGGGTTGCCATCGCCAGTCTCTGCCCAAAATATGACAAACTAAAGCTTGAGCAATCAGCATTTGACCGCTACGTAACATGCAGCCCCAACCACAGTCGCTGCTGTAATTGGAGCCGTTCAAAATAGGAAACTCGCGCCGATATGTCAGCCATAATCTACTAATAAAATCTTTCTTAAATCCTTCAAAGCCTTCATCGTCACTGCTGGCGATCTGGAAAGTGAGAATGAGCCTTGTTTGGCGATAATGGGGCTGGTTACCTCGCTCTGGCTTTGGAAAGCGGCGACGTCGGTCCCTAATTCGGTGCTGTCTGATGAAGGACTTTCTATCCTTCGGTAACACTTGCCTAGGAGCCAGACTGGAGATTCTTTCGAGAAGTTTGTCTTAAGTTTCATCCCTATATGTAAAACTATTTTTAACCATGTTATTGACAAAATTCATTTTACAGTTTGTGCAAATCGAATTCGTGACTGTAATCCTTGATAAGTGATAACTCCATTACGTATAACGTGGGGATTTGGGCGATCCAAATTTGCAATTGAATTATTTATTTTTGCGCCAAATAACAAAACACTGGGAAAGTTTTGTTAATTTTGAAGGCAATACCATCAAGGATTTGTGGTTTTCACAATATTTTTTGATAGATTTACATCATTTATCACATGATTGGTTTTGTAACGGAATTTTTTGTGTTTATTTAGGGTTTCAAGACTTCCGGTTTGGCTAAAATCGGAAGAAACTGCTTATGTAAGCTGTCTTAAATTATTTCTGCAGGATTGCACTAAATATAGCTTTTGATTTATGAAATGCCGCGAATATGAATCATGAATTCTAGCAAGACAAACAAAAAATGTCTTTGTTTGCACATAGTTTGGTCATGAATAAGGTGCTGAGTTTTAGGTTAAGAATCTTACCATATTTCACGTTATTCCACATTGAGAGGAGTCTGTTTTTGACTTTCCCTTCGACATCCGAATTGTTCCCTTCATCCTGCAAACGACTGTCAGAAGAACTTGTTGGGAAGTTAAGTTTGGACAAAAAAATTGATCGTTCTCTTGATACCACCTGTGTGTTCATTTTATCAATGATAAAAATCAATAATCTCTTGATTAACGTAAATCCCACTGTTCACTTGCCACAATATAACTCAATTGTAACTTTCAGTTTACATTTTATTGTAATTTATTTATTTGCGAAACAACTACCAACAGCTCGCCATCAACAAAAAAGTGACAATGAGACGCCTCCGAATCTGTCGTCCAATCGCATCAATCAAACCTGCCGCGCAAATTCAAACCTCCCCACCCCTACCCATAAATAGCACACGATTGGGCAATAAATAGATACTTTATTTAAGTACATTATAGAGTCAGAAATAAATAAAAAGTTCAAGCTTAATTAATATCACAAATTAACACAACACAAATAATACTGGTAAATAATTAGCGTGCCTTTGGGACTGCGGAAAATGACCGTTTTTCGTACATCATCTTGCGTTCGCGCTTCTTTTCCGGGTACTTGTGATAGACCGGTTTCATATCAAACTTAACCGGAGTGAAACACTCCGAGTGGGCCGATTGCCGTTTCCTCATATTATTCCCAGTATATGCCACTCCTCGCATTTGGTATTCCTGAGTCTCCGAATTCCATATCAAATTGGCTTCGATTTTTTTCTAAAAATAACGAGTCAAATCAATGACGCGTCAGTACCACAAACCTACTAAATATTCCTTCGGTATGTAACTATCGATCATTAAACACGCCAATTGCGTTTCTCGGACCAGAAGCCGGTTGTTGTCCAAAAGCGCTTCCATTTCGCGCTGGTATTCGTGCTCCTTATCGGCATACTCCTCCTTGACTTCGTTTAGATAAGACTGGACTTTCTTGATTTTTTTCCCAATTCCGGCGTCTTCTTCTTGGAGACTCGAATATTTTTCCTCCACGTCAATTCTTTCTTGGCCCTTCTTGTTTAACGTTTCTTCCAACTGTTGGTGGTTTTTGTCCAAGTTTTCGATTTCGGCCCCCGTGGATTCGATCAAGAAGGCCTGGATTTGTGCCTTCTCGAATAAATTTTCACCACCCACAAGAATCCGTTTCTGGATCAGCGAAATTTTCTGCATCAATTCGTTCTTTTCTTTCCTACAAAAAACATTAACTTTTCAAAGTTATTGACAGCTAAACGTACTCGGTTTTTTGCAATTCCTCCTCCCATTTTTTGAGCTCTTCAACCTTTTGTGCGGACGCTCTTTCCTTTCTCTTCTTCGGTTTTTGTTCCTGTAGTGACAATAAATGGATTTTTTCTTGCAATTCAGCGATTTCGTGCTCAAACCCTTCAATGAGGCCGCGCTGCTCGACATTAATTCGAGCATGGTTTTGTATATGTTTGACTCTCGCTGCGTATCGTAGAGTACATATGCTCTCCTCATAGTCAATATCTGCCGGACTTACCATCGCAATCTGCAAATTACGTAACTATAGCCACAATTTGTCGTTCTAATTAACAAATACCATTGCTGTTTTTGAGTTTCCACCCAATGAATCTTGAAGTAATCGCGTCAATTTTGAGTTTCTGTAAGGAATATGACTACTTTTGCCATCAACGAGTGCAGAAATAACATTTCCGAGTACAGAAAGCGATAAATTAATATTGCTAGCTTCCCTTAAACGCTCACCTGTAGCTTGGGTTCGACTTGCACGTTCCGAGCCCTACAAACTGGCTTTAAAACCTCCCCCTCAAACTTATTACCGACTCACAGCCAAGTCAACTAAATTAAGTTTGCCAACAGTGGTTTTATTGCTACTTCTATTTTTTGATTCAATAGTTATGGTAAAAATCGCGTGCGATCTTGAACTAACGTCGTTCATCAAAGTAGACCTAGTGACTCGATTCTTGTTTCCTCTGTTGAGTAATTCAGTAATTGATTCAATTGAGTCAACGGTGAATCCCATGAGATCCTTGACATACACTCCCACATCTGGTCTTTCGCGTATTGCTAACTTTTTGTTCGGATCCGTGGACAGCAAATCCCTAACTTCTTCATTATAAATCTCTAAATAAGTGACAGTGACAACAAACGAAGTCTCGCCACTAGCTCTCGAAATCTGACTAAAAATATGCGAAAACGTGTTGGGAATAATCCCTTTAAGTTCCGGTTTTGCGTAATTCCCCGACATGGTGTAAGTCTTTCCAGTTCCCGTCTGTCCATACGCAAAAATCGTGCCATTGTACCCCTCCAAAGCCTTCTCAACAATAGGCACAGCTATCACTCGATACAAAGATAACTACAACCAAAACCTCACTCTGATTCTACTTTAAATTAAGTGTCAAACCTGGGTTGATTCTTCGCCAAACACCTGATCAAATTTAAATGGTTTTGGGTTTGCCCCTTCTTTATTTAAAGCAATTAAATTCTCTTTAGGGTCGATTAAAAGTACATTTAGATGACCCTCAGCCTCTTCTTTTTTCGTTAAAGGACGCACTCGAACAAAAACACGAACATTTTCCACTTCAGTTTGTACGTCTGTTTTTGAATTTGCCATTTCTGATAATTATTTACGAAACTAAAAAAATTAATCAATATTGTAGAAATTTAGGTTAGGGTCATCTGTCAAGTTGACAGCTACAAAAAGCGCGGAATTTGAATCTACGTCAAGTTGCAATGTACGAGGTACTAGCAAAAAGTAAGTCACCGGATTTAACATTATTTATAATTTATAAACAAATTCCAACTATGAGACTAATTATAGAAACGCACAAAAAATAGATTGTGATTCATACTCGTAAAATACTTTATTGCAAGCCAAAGCCACTTGAATGAGTTATTAAAGTTTTTGATGTTGTGATAATGATAAGGACTAGCAGTAGGTATATTAAATAAAGATAAATCAAACCAAAACAAATCGTAACAAATAAGGGAAAATATAATATTTAATTAAACACTTCCCGGTAATCTGATATTTGTATTAAATAATAATTTAATTAATACTGAGATTAAAACTGGTATAAAATAGGGCTCGAATGCGTGAAAAATCAGTTCATTCTGTGCCTTCCAACCTAATAAGTGAGTAAAATAGTAGGTAATAATTTAATTAAAAATGCTGTTTTTAGCAAAATGAAAGCCGCTTTTTTGCTTCTTTTCGTTCTTCTACCGGCAGTTTTCTGCTACTACGCTCACCCAAATATCCACTATTTCCCGGCTAGAATTAATTACAGAAATGCTCCGGCTAAATCCTGGGGTACTTTATTCCATCGCCTCCACCTCGCCAGTAAACGTTGCCCCAACACATTTGATGAAAGTTGTATCAACGATATCATAAATGGAGCTGGATCAGATGAAACGTATTTGAACGGTGGTGATAACCCCGGAAAACGATGTGTGAACACATTTGATGAAAGTTGCTCCAATGGTGACATCAACGGTGCTGGATCTGATGATGATTGGTTGCACGGAGATGATAATCCTGGTCGTCGCTGAAAATTTCGTGTAGAATAAATTTCATATCAGAATAAATTTTATTGTGAACATTATTTCTTGTTTGATATTCGCCATTTTGTCGGCACTGATGAACGAGTTTTGTGTGATTTAAGTGATTGTATCTGATGAACAGGTGGTAGTAAGATTCGAGCCAGTTTTTCTTGAAATGCCTGAGGTAACGGAAGTCATACAACATGAAATTTACCCGCGCTTTGTATCGAGCAAATGACTTAGGAGTCTTTTTTTCCACTTTCCAATTAAATCTTTTGTTACAGCGCGATCTAGATTCCTAATTTTCGAATAATTGCGACAAAGTTTAATTCCGAGACTGGTTCAACAGGTTGATGGAATTACATTACCATCGGTAGCTCATAAGCGCAGCAATACGGTTGCAGTTTTTAAACAGATTAGGCCTCAATGGGCCATCAACAACATCAAAGTGGTTGGCGCCGTAATAAATTTGAAATTTCTTCAGAAAACTAAAAACGCCGGAAATAAGAGCGTGAGGCTTCTAAGGCGCCCAATTTCCGGAAGCGGTGCACATTGAATTAAAAACAACTCAAATATTCAAACCTCTGGCCTGATAGGGGGCCATTTTCGAAATGTCTGGCGCCATTCCTAACCACTTTTCTCAATCCATAAATATTTATGCAAATATCATAATCGCTATAATAAACTATTTCCGGTACGAAGATTTCGAAAAAGAAAATATGTTGTATTACGGTTTTCTTTCCGTACATAATTTGTGTTTATTGCTGACTGGCCAACTTTGGTTTTATATTTCTTTATCACTTTATTGCGCGGATATAAACATCAAAATAAGCTTTGATTAAGGGAGATCCACTTCATTTAACCATTCACAACAATGCATTGAAATTTTATAGCGACATATTCCACATTCCTCAGTTTTATGAAATTTAATTTCAGTTATAATGAGGTTCGCGCACAAGGAAAAAATAAAGAAGGAAGGTAAATAGAACTAACTCGGATCTATGTATATAAGATTTAAAAATGAAACAATATAAAAACTGTTAAGGTTTTAATGATTTTAATTCTTGTCTTAATTAGCTGATAGAAAAGTAATTATAGAAGGTTTTTCTGGAGCTCATTAGGTAAACCATTGCAGAATTTGCACTACAATTACTACGCTGACAACATGCACTCAGTCATTAAATCATTCGAAAAAGAAAAAATAATTTTATACTACTTTGTTCTCCTTTACCCTATATATTTAATAATGATAGTCATGATCGAATTAATTTTTTTATAACACTGTGTAAGGTGTCACTATAGAAGCGATCACAAAAACATTCTAGAATGCTGAGCATTATTTAAATACGTTTTTGTTCATTGAGACTAAATATTTGAAACCGACAAGTGCAACATACAGGCTGTCCCAGCGAGTTGAAAAAGTCCATTAGTGACCTTTAAATGGTAAAATAAAAATAAAGTTGAATAGGACATTGACAGATTCTAATCTAGTGCATCACCTAAAATTATTTTTATTCCCAAAAATAAATTACGAAACAAACTTGTGTTTTTTTTTAAATGAAACTTGGCATTTTTGGATCTAGCCTTTGAAAAAAAACAATGTTTTTACGGTAAACTTTTATTAGTCGATTTCGCTTAGTTTTAGAAATAAGACGTTTTTTTTTGACAAAAACAGGCACAAAAACTAACTAACTAGAACAAATTTTTTCTTACTTCTGCAAAGAAGAAAGAGCAGAATTTAAAGCTGTAGCAATTTTTCAGTGTTTTGCAATTGTAAAGATTAATTAATTAAGAAATTTGTTAAAAGTTAAATAACTTAAAAAATTTAAATAGAACACCCTATTTTTTATTTTTGCATCTAGTAGATTGATAAATTGTCTGTCTAAAAAAATAAACTTTTAATGTCTAGAGTTGATAAATAAAAAGATATTTAACATTCAATATTAATTGTAGCAACAATGCCTATCCATATCTGGGCATTGTTGATACTATGGCAACCATAGTAATTCCACCACGGATCACTTATCCGTTGATTTATCTAGAGATTGTAAAACTCGTTATAAATACTGAAATTCGAATTATTTGATTGTAAAAATAAAGAATTATGAATTCAGTTTAACACAAATGTGATTATTAAGTGATATTTCTTCCATCTCTTGTGCAACTGTGCACTTTTTGGCTACTGAAACAATAGTAATTACTTTTTTAATGTTTAAAGTTTAAATATCTTTTTAGTTATTGATTATAAAAACCTAAAAGTAAATAATTTTAGAAAGACAATTTAATTAATAATCTTTTAAATGCAAAAACAATAAATAGGTGTTCCATTAAAAAATTTTTATTGAACTTTAAACAAACGCCTTCATTTTTTTATCTTTGCAAATGCAACACACTAAAAAAATGTTAAACCTCATAGCTTGTACCGTCTTATTTGCGATAGTAAAAAAAATATTTGTACATGTCTTAGTTTTAAAAAGTGCATGTTTTCGTCAAAAAAACCGTCTTATTTTTAAAACTATGCAAAATTGACGAAAAAAAGTTTAGTTTTAAAAATATTATAATAAAAATCTACATCCAAAAACGCTAAGAAACATATATATGTTTATATGGTGTTTCATTTAAAAAAACACAAGTTTCTATTGTATTTTGAGACACGCTGTATAGTTGAAAATAATTTTAGGCGATGGATAGATATATATTTATTTTAATTTCACCAAAGTCACTAATGGACTTTTTCAACTCGCTGGGACACACCATGTATCTTTTATATAATACAAATACAGTATTATTGATAAAAAATCTTTTTTTAAGTAATTAGATACTGAGATAAATTTAAAAGATTTCTTGAGCCAGAACTAGTAATAAAAATGATTAAGAAGAAATCTCATGATTTCAAGCAAATTATTAATGATCAGAAAAAAATGTATAAAACACCAAAATAAATACCAATTTGTTGGTTTTCCCAAAAATTTTGTTAAAGTACTGTAAATTCTTTTCTTCTGTTTTATTAAATTTTAGAATTCTTTCTCTCATTCAAGTTGCAATTTAAAATGTAGTATAGTAGCATGATAATTTCCAAAACCCCAGGGCCAGGGCTTTGTTGTTCCACTATAAGCATTATTTTTTTATTAATTAAATTTATTACTCGAAAGATAAATAAGTACAACTTTTTAATTTTACATTTAATTTCATTGTACTCCACTGAAAATTAATTTAATTTAATTTGAAATTAACTAAAACAGCATATTGAAAGTTTAGCATTCGGTTTTTTCCTCTTTAAGCACCCATAATGACACATATTCTTTATTAAAAGTTATAAAAATACGTGTTGCTAGGTAAGTTTATTTAATGCGTTCAACCAGATTTGCTATATTTTTTATGTTATTGAAAATTTAAATCTGTATGACCGAAAAAATTTAAACGCACACCGCGTGTTTACACTTTTAAAACTCTAAAAAATGCCTTGGCATTCTAGTACACCTCAATTTATCCAATTTTTATCCAAAATCGCACATCGATACTGTTTCAAAATAAAAATTGTATAATATATTCTTTTTGTTAGAATATTGAATGAAAATACCTCAGTCTAATAACAGATGTTATTTCTATGCTTTATCAGATTTTTCATAATTTTAGTTTGCAAAAGAAGAAATAATACAGGTGCACCAGAATTCGCGCCCTAGATAAAAATGCTATGTATGCTATGCTATGCTATGTAAAAATGCTATGCTTACTTTTGGTATCCTTACCAAGAACATGGAAAAAATGTTAAAAAAATTCTATCTATAAAGATTTCGAAGTTATGAGAGTTTAAATTTTGCACTTTAACTCTATTTATTTCTGTTTGCTACAGGCTATTAGAATAGGAAACAAGGAAGCTGTCAAGCTTCGTAAATTGTTATTTGTGTTTTTTATTGGTAAAATGTTTGTACCTTTAGTAAATAAATATAAAAAAACATATACAAGATCATCAGTGTCATTAAATAGCCACGAGAAAAGACATAAAAAAATGTCTACTGTCAAAAAATAAATGGCAATTTTTTTTTATGTTCCTGGTATCTTATCTTACTTGAAATTTTTCTCTCCCAAAAGAATTATGCATTATAATTCTAATTAATGTAGTAATAATTAAGGAAATTAGTTTTTTAGCACGTGGCGTAATGTTTGTTCCATGAACTTTAAATTTCCCCACTCATTATTAGTAAACAATGATTTGTTTGTTGTGATTTTTTCACGTTTTTCCTAGTACTATGAGTAGTAATACTCCAAACTGTTCCATATTCATTGATTAATGAGAGAAAAACGTGTTTGTTGTGTAATAAGTTTCTGGAAACCGCAAATTTGGTGGGACGTGTGATGAAGTTTCAGACATGTCAGGACCATCCCATCCAGTCGAAGAATTTGACATTTCGTATCTTGTTTATCGTAGACATTTTCAGTTATATGAACTTCCGGACGCAACAGGTGCGGAATGCGCCCATACACAGGTCAGGTATGAGAAATATCGGCCCGAGATCGATTCCCTTATTTCCGTTTCCGGCTGGACAGCAACGCATGAAGAAATCCGTCAACAAAAGAAGAGAAGCGAAAAAACTGTTTACAACTCGACTCCAGGTGACGTAACGTCGAAGAATGCGAAACCGCAGCTTGTACAGGCCCAACTTCCACAGCCTAAATCCGGTACTGGTCAAGCACAATCGGTACCATCCTACTGCGAGCTCTCCGCTGCTACATATCGGACTTCTTTCACGACCGGCTTTAAAAGCGGTCGCCGGAAATCAGATTGCTGTTAGATTTTTCTAGTCTTGTTTCAAGTTCTCTCGTAAGTTAATAAGCGTGGGCGACCGACACACCAAAAAATCGCAAATATGTCAACAAAATCAGACTCCTGAGAGACCTCTTGCCATCGCACAATTTACTACTTGTTAATTGAAACTTTTCAATCCGATCGCCGGACATGATTGACTCAAATTATATGGTACTCCACAAATACCACAAGCTTCTCATTCAACGACAATTTATGACCTACAGTGCACACAAACGTTGTAATACAGGACCATCATTTTAATTTGCAAGATTTAACCTTGAATAAGATAATTCCATCAAAGACACATTTTTAACATTTTATTCGTCAATTGTTTAATTGGTATAACTGGAATTATCCTAATTATCAGTTTTAAGAACAAGAAAGGAAATTATTAAATTAAATGAGGGAAAGTGGGTATTTGATTGAAGACGACTTAGTCGATGGGCCTATTTATAAATGTGATAGTGTCGGAATGGTAATAACAAATGGTGTGTAATTAGTGTAATTGGAGCTATTACGAAATGAATAAATGTGTAAAACTGAAGTACGTCAATAATTAAAAACAAACTATTAATCGAGCAGATATCAGAAATAAACAAAAGTATTCGCCTTTCACTTTTTCTGTTGGCCATTGAACAAAGAAGGAGCTAAAGTTGGTAACTGGTAGAACGGCAGTTTACGTTTGAAAATACGTTTAGTAAAATGTGTAGTGTTGTAGCACGATACGTATGAATGAAAATTTCCAATAACAAGAGTACGACTGGTTGTACCATTCATAAATCCGTCCACCCTGTACAGGCGGCTCTCACCTGAGCGACAGGTGTGCGCTGCTGTGCAAAAAAAGCAAAAAATCTTACGCAACCGTGTTGGAGAGTTTGTTTTTTGAGTGTGATTTTGCGATTGAAAGGGTGGTTGTGTCACCCCGGCGAAAATCCCGTTAGTGGTACTGCGAATTGTCGTGTTTTGTGAGTGCGTTAGCGTCTAGGGGGCATGCCTGGTCCCTGATCTGTCTCCATTCATGCCTTCGAACGAGCGAGCTAGTAGTACGCTCTGTGAAATGATCAAAGTAGCACTAAGGCATAGTCTTAGCGTTACGCAATTCATTCATATCGTATCGAAGTCGGTACGCGAGTGATAGCTGTTCGTGGTTGGATTGTGGAATAGTGCGTTGAAATTGCTGTGTTTTTACCAATACTCGACTGATCGGATGGAATTTTTATATAATGAATTTCGAAAGTATCGTCATTTTAGTGCTTTTTTCAATTCACGGCCTCTGCTCGAGATTACCTTTGGAAGTTTTTCAACATCATCCGACTGAACATTACGTACATCACCACAGACTCAATCACAACATTGGCGGATTTCATCGCAAGAAAAACATCGATTTCACCAACGTCAAAATATTGTACCAAGTCGGGGTAAGAAAAGAACCCACCGAATTATTTATCATTCATCCTTACATTTAAATTTTAAAACAACAGCTTGGAAGATGTAGTAAATCAATCAAGTGGAAAAGGCCCAAACGGTCCAGTTGGTCGCAATATGTAGTTCAAAAAATAATTGTTTACATTGCGGTAATTCCAGATTCTAGTTTGATGGAATTATAAATGACCGTTTCCTCGATAAAAATTCCTCAATTACGAGTTTTTTCTTCTTCTTCTTCTTCTTCTTCCAGTGAAAAGTAGACAATTTACTGCGGAAACACTAAACAAAGCCTGCAGTAACAAAATAGAAAGATCGGAGGATATCCTAATGGCTCCGTAAAAATCATCAAGCAATAATTACAACTTAGCATAAAAACCAATTAAACACATTTAACAAATAATAAAAATACAATGTGCCGCAACGTATTAAATTTATGAAATAAGATTGGCTGTTTCCTCTCTTCTGTGTTAAAAACTTTGATTTAATTCAAACCGATTCAAAGATTGATGACCCAACCGAATTAAGAGGGAAAAACAAATCCGGAAATTGAAACATCACAAAAGTAATTTATCCGTACTTAATGTGAAATTATTAATATTTAAGTGTGGTGGTTTTTATACCAAATTACTGCATTATAGCTTGTGTCAGACTATCGGAATGTTCTTTGTTTCTTTGCCATACTCGAGTATGGACATCAATAAAATTGCCTGATGCTAGTGGTACAACATTCTTGTTTTCCCCGCCGAAAATTACGTCAAAATCGGGTGTCGATCAAATTTTTTAAGTACGGGTCTGATTGTCCTCAATTAAAGCAATGAACAGTTGGCCACCTACGCTTTCGATACTTTCACATGACGATCGATTCGAGATTGGATTTAATTAATTAATTTATCTGTTTATCTTTTTTGCATGAAGGACTGAAAGGACTTCCTGAGGAAAGGTCGAAGCGATGTTTATGTGTAGTACACGTATAGGTTTTATAGTAAAGCTTGACAAAAGATTGTGATGTTAAAAGAGCGGAAGTACCGGAACCCAGAACGGGCAAGACACTGATTCTTAGCGAGGTCCTAAATCATTGCAGCCCATTGTGAAGACCTCAATGGGGAGGAAGTGAATTCAAGCGACATACCTACGTATCCGCATTTTTAACTAGCAATATTTACAATAGCAATAGTTGCGCTCTACGAAAAAAAGTCAATTTTTACCAGTGTACCGATGATAGTCTGGGAAATTACACCAGATCCGGTATTAAACGGGTTTTACGAAACTCCTAAAATAAGAACAAAAATCGTGTTTTTTAAAAAACTATTTGATGGTACTTGGCTCCGCCTCTAAATACAAGACGTCATTAATTTCATCTCGTATCTCCTTATCGATGCTTGAAGCTAAATTTTAAAGCCCGGTAGTTAATTTATGTTTATACCATCAGATTTAATCTCCGAATCTGTCCGAGTCAGGTAGCTGGCTACTAATTGCAAACCATTCTCGGAACAATCGTAGCGTTTTAATTTTCGCGCTAAAATGGCGCCGGATTTTAATTATCGAGATAGCGAGATATCCTTTCCCATGGCGAAATGGAGAAGGAAAGCTTCCGGTGGTAGAAGAGCATAAATCTGAGTCTTCCGGGGCAGAGGGAAGGGGGCTGATGGAGGGTGCCAGCATTGTGCTGGGCGGCTGCCTGGCCCACGACTAGCCCAGCAACTGGTCGATTTTCCCACGGCTGGTAAAGACAGACCAGACGCAAGGTGTACGATTGTGGGGCACCCCCATGAACACCTGTACCGTGTCGGCCGGCCGGCCGGCCGCCCGCCCGCGCCCTTGCCCCTCGATATTGTTTTCACCATTCTTCAAACTTGACGTCTTCCACTAATTTAACGACCCAAGATTGATGATATGGCTTTTTGTTCGCAGACGACCGATGCTGATCTACCCGAATGTGGACCTAGAGCGATCTGCAATAAACTAGACATGTACGACACCCCCTGGATTGAGAAACAATGCAGATGCACCGGGGACAGGAAGTGCCCCCTAGATCTCCAACCTGATGATGGCTACACCTTAGCTGACAAAACCAGGCAGTATAAGCTCTGCGAACCGGTCAAGAAAATACCAAAATGCAGGTACGAGCTATTATCGTATGTTTGGTTGCATAAAATTTTCAAAAATCGGATATCGACATATTGGAAATTGCTTTTCTTGCATGAGAGTAAACGAGTTGAGAAAGCGTCGTCCATTCATATTATCTGTTTCCTCTACAACTGAGGTGCGGCAAAATTAATTATTTTCATTAAACTCAGTCACGATTCAGATAAACGATATTACATCAATGAATAGTTTTCGTTTGATTTGATTCAAGGAAAATCGCATGTCCTTGTCCTGATTATATTCAACTTTCTTGGAATTTCTATGTAATCATTAATTTTATTATAATCTCGTACACGATTGTCCATTTAAATCGTTTCCAGTTTCGCCGGAAGCAATAGCAACTTTAAAATTTCAATCGGAATCAACTTGAATCTACTGAACTTAATTAGATATGACTTATATCCGGTTAAAAAAACAAAAAAGATCGGCTTTTTCTCTAGACTAGTTAATTTGTTAGTTGTGGCTGGTTTCTGATGATAATAACTACAAAAACTTTGGGATTTCAACGGGAAAATGTCGGTCAGGAATGAGGAATGTTGATTAGTAAATTATTCTGAATACTCCAAATTCAAAAATTGGAGTAGATATTTGTCATCATATTAAGACACAATACAGTTCTCACAAGTACACATTTCTTATAACGGAACTTTTTCGACTTCCGAGGCCTAAAGGCATCCGTTTTTAGATGATCCACTATATGGACTAATGGTATTGTAATTGTTGGTACCCAGTAGCACTCAAAGCACGTGTTACTTTCCTTTCAAATTAACCAACATAGCAAAAAGTATTGAAATACGGAAGTTAAATCGTCTTGTTGTGTCATAAAATGAAAAAAATGATGACATAAAATTCATGATCGATAATCAGTGACCGATTTCGACCTTGTGTGGCCTCATAACTTCATTCATGTTTAATATACCAGGATCAGAGAAAAAATCCTAGTCATTACATAAGTATATCCTTTCAGAGCGTCGAACACCTGACTTTTGTGTGTCATTAGTACACAATACACAAGACTGATAAATAATTCATTTGAAACTATAGATAATAATTCGCCACCTGTTCCGTTTCAGATTTTTCAGGGATACGACTTGGACTATAACTCTCTACACGAACAACGTGACAGAACAGATCGTCCATTGTCATTGTCCGAAAAACTCAATGACGTATCTTACGAAACGTCAAGCTTTGCACATGCCAAACGGCCAAATCGCTTTCCAGTACTACTTCTCGTGTTCACCACAAGCTGTAAGTTTTTACAAATCTGGAGTAAATTAATAATTATGTGAAAATTTCAGAGACTACGATGTCAACGGAAGGAGCCTTGTCGGTTGTTCACAGTGCGTAAACGTCAAGAATTTTTGGACGAAGTGAATGTTAACAGTTTGTGCCAATGTCCTCACGCGCATCGGTGTCCGCACCATCACATGGATTATGGTGTGATAGCGGGCAAAAGTTACACAGAGGAAGCTATTAAAACGTATAGTGGTTACTGCCTGCCAACTTAGTACATCATTGAGATTTAAACGATTACCGTTTGAGCTCTCCGATATTAATTTTTTTGTGTCTTTTTCATTCTGTAAATAATTACTATTTTAATACGTGAAATAAACAATTCCGGTTGACATATATCGCCATTTGTAAAGACATTGTACAATATCTTAGTTAAGTGACGTTTGAAACGTGAATAATAAATTATTTTATTATACTAGGTCAAGTCGAATGCCTCATTTGATATTTGAAATTTTTGTACAATTTTATGTTATTTTTAATATGTATCAGTGTACAAACGTATATTATAAATTTATGTTATTTTTCATCACGACTTTTCTTCCACCCCTCGTATATCTCGATCCAAAAAAATAATAATTAATATATAAAAATATTTTTATTTCAGTCACTGATTAAACGCGTAAACATTAAAATTCAATATTAACATTTTACCTTATCAAATAGTTTGGTATAATTTGAAATGATTGCATAATTCAGTAAAAATAAATAAAACAGTCTCAGGCAACCAATAATACACAGTGTATTTTGTGGTGCCTAAGCATCACCAGTCTTAATATTGGGTTAAATAATTTTCCGAAGTTTTATTTTTAGTTTTTATAGCAAATTTCTTTGTATACTTATTAGCAGTTGTTGGTTTTTTGTCGTGTTAAATAAAACAAATAAGTAAATTTCTTCATCATGTTTATACGATAAATAACTAAATGTATTATATTAATACTTTAAAAAAAAATGAAAAATTATTTCACGTATGTCAGAAAAACGTAAGCTGTGGGTTAAGCGGCCAAAAACCTTTTGCTGTAAAAACATTAAGTGCAGTTTAAGATATTAAAGATATTTGCTTTTACCGCAAGCGTACGCATATACCTTTAAAGGATTGTAAAACCGCGGAAATGCAGACGTAAAAACAAATTAAATTTATTATCGTTTCAATTATTTTTGAGTTATTCACAGGTGTTGATTAAGTTCTTATTGTTGGAGTTAAAAAAGTGATCATTAGAGAAAAATTCGCTTTGGAACCGGTAGTCAGCTATTACGAAAAAACTAGAAATTTGGTAATAGTAATTACGAATTAGTAACTGGATTCAGGCCATTTAGGAAGTTTGGTGTGAAATAACACTTTTACTCGAGCTTTTAAGCTTTTTTAATTGACGCATTGTTTCCTGCAACAGATGGGTTTTCCACTCCATTTCTTTTTTAAATAAAGCATTTCTGTGGTTATTGCAAACCGCACAATTTACGGAAGGTCGAAATAAGAAAAAAAATAAACGATTTAGTATCTATTTTTTGTAACTTTCTCAAAAACTAAAATATTGATTCAAGTGTTTAAAAGTTCGATCTAGAAACCTACATGAATACGAACAAATGCTGTTTTAAATTCCTATAATGGATAGTACCGTTCTGAATTGCGCAACCATTATAGCATAAATCATTAAAACAATTGGAAGTGCATAGTTCTAAGTAAGAGATCAAAGTAATCTCTAAAAGGTAGAAGTTTAGATCGAAATTTATTTCCCACGATCTTCGTAAATCACCGTGAACGGTATTTAAATTCGTAGGAAGAGAATTCGTATTTAAGTATTGTCCTGGTAAATTACCTCCAGCATTCAGCAAAACGTCCAGAAATTAAGTTAGTTTTTTCATAAATACAGTTATACTTTACAATTATACAGGGCCAAATTAAATCACTTTTTATCAAAATCGTGATTTTAGGTCAAAGATGAATGAAATCAATTTTTCATTTCCAGAAGTGGTGCAGAACTGTACCAAAAAACCAACCGAAACTGAATCGGGTTTTATCAAATTAATTCCTAAATTGATTTTTTTCCTCTAATACCACAGCACAAAAGCGCCATCACAAAGGGATCAAGGCGACACGTGTATTTTTGAGTGGAATTATAATTTCGGTCGTGCAATTGGTTTTATTTTTATCGAAAATCTCAGCGGGATTCAGTTCGCAGAAGCTAACAGGACAGAATATAGAGTGCGCAGATGTCGCATTTAAATATCTACAATATAAAATACTGTATTATAAAGACATTTTGAAGTCCGTTATTTTATTATGTTTGTGACGAACCTCGCAATAAATGTCCAGTTATCGGTTACAGAAGTTTTGCAATTTAACAGACGCCGGGATTAGTACCCCGTAAAACAGCCATTAAAATGACATAATACCAATTTTGGTCCTCGAACTGACAAAATCACGGCACGAACTAGGGCATTTGCAGCTCTGATTTCCTTGTGTAGGATGCGTACCCAAGGAAAAGTAAAATATCTGTAACAGTTACAGTTAGGCGCACGCGAACGCAAAAAGTCGCGAAAAAAATTATTAATCTCGATTCATGGATTATATTTCATGAGCGCCTACACAACTTAACGCAAGTAGTACATCGTCTTCTCTACTTTTCGTAATTATCATCACAGTAATGTTATTGAGTAATAAAATTTAACAAAATCGATGTTTTATTACCGAAACAAAACACAACTGTTTCGTTTATTAACCTAATTCAGAAATTAAAAATCCTTACACTATAGCTTGATGACTTTTTAATAACGTTCCCGTTGTTCAGTGGCGTACCTGGTATTAGGGGCGAAAAAATCACAAAATCTCAATTAAAAGAATTTGCTGAAAAAGTGTGATACTTCAAGTGGATCATTGTGGGAAATCGGTATTCGTTAAAATTGTTTTTACGAATTTGTTTACAGTTAGAAGTAACAATGTTGTTGGTTGAATTGCAAGATTTGTTTTATTGGCCCGGCTAAATCTGGGTTACCTCCATTTGTATTGCAAGTGTAAAATATTCTTATTAAGTAGAACAATTTGCTCTTGAAACTGAAAATAAAATGACCGCAACCATATTTTCTTGTGTATGTAGAGTAGCGAGTAACGACATATAATTAGAATTAATTGACTAATGCAAATTTTATTTAATTTTGTGGCCGTCCCAGATTTGTCGATCTGAGAGCTTTCGCATTAAAATAGTGTTATCTATATCCGTGACAAACAAGTTAAATTAGATTACAATTATTGTGTTTAGCTTTCAATAATGTTAGCCAGGAAACAAGAAACATTTAATTTATTTAAGAAAAAGAGCTAATGCACTATGAGTGTTAAAATTGCGACCTGGAGCAAGGAAATCTGTATTTGCGTGCAACCTAAAGCACTTGTAGCTAAAAAAATTAAAAATTATACTCTACATCAAATCATAAAAGATGTAATCAAAGGATTCGATTGTTGAAACGCAGCCAAGGCGTTAATTGTTAATTTTGCCCTAACTGTACAAAAAAATCATTCAGATGATAGATTAAGATTTATGATCGTTGTTAAAATTTCAGAAAACTCACGATCACCAATCAAATTCGGCCTAGATACCGTCCTGATAGAGACTGTCATGAACCTATGTAATTTCAGTCGTGATAATCATGAACCATTGATTAATTCCGTAAAATAACTCTTTGTTCTAGGAAGATTTTCCGGGATGGAAAAGTGAAAACCGAGTGTCATCTAACAACAAAGATACTTTGTTCGGATGTGGGTCAATGGTAATAAAAGATTCAACATTTGGTTTGCGTGGTATAAAGTGCACTCAACCATAATAAAGTGGTCATTGAATTTATGTACCTCGTTCAAGACTAGCAAATATGCATAAATTGCGATAAATTAACCATCACTTTTATGATTCTCAATCAACAATCTCAATAATTAATTTATTCATTCAGCCGATCTCTTCGCCGTGTTTAAGGAAAATTAATGGAAATCGAGGCAAAGTGTGATTGGGTCTTCGACATCGCCAGTCTTCCTAATTGGTTGGTCGTGGCATTGTTCACTTATCACTAGAAAGAGCTGCACGCCTAGTAAATATAAGCTTGACCTTAACTGTATTTTCACCATATAAAACTTCTTTATATTATTCGAAAATATGGAAACACGAAAAATGACACACCAATTACCCTCTTGTCTCTTGCAAACACCGACAAAGCCACCTGTCAAATGTCAATCACAACACCCATGACAAATGACTGCATCCCATTCAAAAAAAAATCATTTACCGCTAAAGTTCATAAACCAAAATTTTAATAAAATTACATTCGATTAAATAATCAAAACAATTACGCTTTGACATAAATAACGACAATGGAACTTTTACTCAAATAATACCTGCAAAGCATGAAATAATCTCTGGTAGCCAACAATAATAGAATCATTAATGATAATGAAAATAGCAAGCAACATAATTGCAGATGCTACCGGGATAAACGCAGATTGTGAATGCATTTAAAGTACAATAATAAATGTTTCAAAGACGATTCGAAATGTTTCCTGTTCCTAATTCCCCCATTTACAATTAAATTTAAATTAAAAACCCTATCTTACTTAGTCACTTTAAAAATGTGTAACAGTTAAAAATAGAGCAGTCGGCACCCTTCTACCCCCGAAACAACTAAATTAAATCAAAAAACTGCCTGAGCTTGAGTTTTTAATGATAAGTCGGCAGATGAGATTCTAAAACAAAAATGATGAGTTTTAAAATTGTTTAGTCTTTAAAAGGCGGCCGGAGCAAAATCTCTTCTGGGAGTTCCAATGTAAATGTCTACCTCTGTATTTGAAAAACTACTACAGATATTTTTATGAATTTGGTAGCATGTGAAAGAGAATATTTTTTTTCTACATTTTGACTGTTTTAAAATTGCGATAGGTTATCTACAAATTGTAATAAAGGTAGAGAAAGTTTGAATAAAAGTGCGCAAATTAAAAAAATACATTTTAAGACGTTTTTCCGAACTTTTAAAACAGTCAAAATGTAGATTGTTGTATATTAAGGTGACAATTTCAAGTCCGGTAAAAAAATATTTATAAATAACACCTCTACAGAGGTAGAATGATTTGGAATCGAAAATCGAGTGAACACAAGATTATTTACAACCCCCACATAAAATGTAACCGCAAACAATTAGACCCAAATTTACAACCACACCCGCGGATAAGCTGATGACACAGATGTCATGAATTTCTAAAAGAAGATTTTAGAGATTTTTAAAATTGGTTTACAGTTTAATTTTTAGCTTTCGCGTCAAAGAAAATTATAATTTCATTACAATTGTGTCGTTGTACATATTTTTTTATTGCTTATTCTGAATCTTTATTAAAAAATAATTGACCCATGTTTTTGTTTTGTTTGTCTCGCGTTGGAGAAGAAGCTAAGTGCTGAAAAGGGGGAACATAAAATTGTTAAACGCTGCGGACACAATTTTTACAATTACTTTGTTCCAAGTAAAATCCGAGAATTTATATTATAAGTGAAGCTGTTCGTAGCAAATTCCGAAAAAATTTTTCTTCTGGTTTTTAAAGACGAGCTTAATTTGTTCTAATAACAAATTTAAATATAATTAAATAAATTAGTTAATTTCAGAGCTTTTGTCGTGTGGAAATTGGCACTCTTTGAATGAAGAAGACTACAAAAACTTGTATTAATTTTCATCTTGGCTACTGGCCTAAATTTTGAGCACAAAGACTTGATTTCCCTTAGAAAATCAAAATAGCTGTTCTGAAAGCCAGTAATTTTGATGATTAAAAATTGAATAAGAAAATTTGTGTTAATCACTTTTTATTTATTTATTCATGGTATTTGAATGGTCAAAGTAACCGAAGTTATTGTTGTATTTAATGAGATATTTTCCAACATTTGTAAACAGCAAGCTGACCGCGTTATTGTGACGTTTAATAATGAATAGCTTAATGATTACTCCTGTACTCTTGTGTCTGTGCAGTTAACAATAACATTTGTGATAATATTCAGGTTACAAAAATAATGATAGTCAGCATGAAATATTTCCCAAGATATCTAGGTACCTACTCATTCTTTCTTAAAAAAAGTAGCTGAATTAAATTTGATAATGTCTGTGACTGTGAGACAATTGTCAGTTGTGGACGAAAAAATTTAATTAAGCGAGATTTATTCCAATTTCCAAGTACTCTGAGTAAATTAGTAAGCACGTTTAGACCGTAACTGTAACGTACAGTGTGACAAATGCCTTCGTCATATTTGTTAAGACTGAAACCTAACGGAGTGAGAAAATAGAAAATGCCAAGATTTTCGGCAAGTAATGACCACAAAGATCGTATCGAGATTCAATCAGCGACTAAAGTAGCACCCAGCACCCCGATTGGGCCCGCGGCATCGCAAAGTGTTTTAACTCTTTTGTAAAAGCTCTGGGCCGGCGCTTCTGCCGGAATTCGGCGCAAGAATAGTACCGGAGGGAGTGAATTGGACGCTTTAAGTACGGTATCATTGGTTAGGAAGTGGGTTAGCTGTTGGTAAACCGCTTGCATCGCGTACATAGTGCATGAAGCTTCTTCCGCGGCACAGACCTTCGCAAGCCTCCGCAAGTACCACCGGCTTAGTACCACCAAGGACGCGGCCGCGAACAACCTCAAGAAAATTGACGGAGCCGCGGAAATTGATCGACTATTTTGGTCTGCAGTTCCGACAAATTTCATAATGCGCGTCTTTATTTTCGTTGCAATTCTGTGCGCGGTTCACGTCGAGTCGCAGTTTTGGAAATACCCCCAGCAACTGATTTCGACCTGGCTGCGCCAGGGCAAAACCGGAAGTGATAAAGTGACGACGATTTCGCCGGCCACCGTGGCCAAAATCACGACCAAACCTTCGGTCACCACCAAGGGAGTGCCCCTCAAAAGCGACAGCAAGAGGCCCACCAAGGCCAAAACCACGATGGGGGTTACCACGGTGAAGACCACGATGGTACCGGTGACAACCACGAAACACAACGGGACTGTCACTACCAGGAAAATTATTTCGACGTCCAGCGCTGCTACCGAGACTAGCACTATCGTCGAAACTACCACCCATGAAGTTACAGCTACGACGGAAGAACCAAGAGAAAATCAAAGAACGCACGATTTTTATCTCAGCAAAAGGGAAAAGCCGCAAGTTAAAATCGCCTCCAATATCAGCCAGGTGAGTGCTATATGGACGAAACCAAAAACTAGACCAATTAATTTGCAAACGGTTTTAATTACGCCACTAGCGGATTTTACAAACTTTATTTGCCCCAAATTTTCTGTTCGTGAAAGTGAACTGAAATAATTTTGTGCAGGATACTCGATGTTATTTCAATTTATTTTTCTCGAATCGATGTGAAATGATACTGCAAAATCCGAATTCACTTTCAATGCTTGTCAAATTCCTTTGATCGGTATGACAATGAAGCAAGAAAAATAGAAAACAGTAGTTCAAGAATTTGATAAGGTTGAATTAGCAACGGTTTTACATAAAAAAACTACCGTTATCATTCGGCTTATTATCAAGCCAAAAATATCAAATATATGACTTTGATTAGACACGATTTGAGGATTATTCGTGGGCGAATTTCTATATCCCATATTCGGCGAGTCAATTAATCTGAGTAAAAATATTTAGTGGTGGTAACCTAAGGTTGGAACGGTTATGCCTGCGGAGAATGAAGGGAACCACACGAGCATGTTGCACTCGTATCACGTTTGACAAAATCTGCTGGGCAACGCTTCCCGACTTTAAAAAATTTTGCTTACATGCGATAAATTTGCTCGTCCACCGAGAAGATTAGTACGATGCAGCTCAATGACCCAAGTCAGATCAACCACGACGGACGTTGGATGCCGTTGCCATTATACTTTGATATGCATCATGGTTGGCTATGCAAATTCTAATTACACACTTCAATTAGCAGGTCCGGAAGTTTTGTCCGACGCACTTTGCTCTCGCTCATCTAATCTTTGCTTAAGACAAAAGACAAAGGAGAATCGATTTTGACACGATGCACGACTGAATATTTACAACGTCGTCACGTGACATTGGCAATATTTTCTTATATTGTCACTAAAGCCGATTGTAAAAGATGAAAGTGAACTTGTTGCAGATAAAAGGATTTGTACATGACAATCGTATTTAAATTACAAATTTTTAAAGATTCGATCGCTATTTCAAATAATTTATCTTCAAAGCGCATCGTTTTGTGGACAACTTCCGTTTGTGTGCAATAGACGAGATTGTTCAACGATAATGAAGATATTCATTGTACGTGCCATTATTTGAGAAAAAATCGAATCAATCATCGGAAGTTGTCAATCATTGTAAATGTGAAGAAAAGCCTAATTAGTTTTTGATTACATTAAACTCATTAAAACAAATCAAGGAAAACAAATCATAGAAACGTTTCTGGTGCTTTTAAGCATCCGTCCTCAATGATTTTTTATGATTTTTAAGCGGCGTAACATTTGCATATATAAATATGCAAAGAGAAGCAGTACTAGATTTTTCTGTGACAAGAAATGTAAAAAGCAAGCAGCCGCCAATTTTCGTAACGCAAGTGTAATTATTCACGTTCTAAGAGACATAATTGTCAGCTAGACCGCTGCTAAAGTAGGTATTAAAGTCACTGACTAACGACAAACAGTCTTAAAAGATATTTCTTTGATTTAGTTGTCACTGATTTGAAATTAAATCGTGTGCTAACTGGAATTATCTATTCATAAATGCATTGGGCGCCCTCAGGTCTCAAATAAAAATAAAAATCGAAAATGGATCTATCCAAAGCCTCATTAGAAAATATCATATCGTGGCTATAAATAGTAAATTGTAAAATTACCATTACATAGCTCTGAACAATTATAGTAAACGATTCAAGTCCAACAACCCCTTTAACCAGAACCGTAATTACAGTGTTTCAAAAAGAGTAAGGCGTAACCAGTTAGAATTACTGATTTGGTTTTAATTTATTGATAATTTCAATTGGTGTAATTGCAAGGAGTCAACTTTGAACATCAATTAATCAAGAGAAGCTTTCCAAATATCCATTTTGATAATACCTCCTACCGTATTTTCATGATTTGGTTATAATAACTGGTTCAGGTGCATGCTGTACTAGATAATATCCGGTGGTAAAATTAATTAGATTTGATTACTTGTAATTACAAGTTCTGGTCATCATCGTGTTAAATCCGAAACATGTAACTAGCGACGTTTATAAACAAGTTATCTTAGAACCGAAAAAATCAACGCAACCACCGGTGCAGAAGACTGAGAAAAAGTGCAATCTTTCCGCACCATTACATCGGTGCAATACTATCAAGTTCAGGAACCTCCTAGCAAAATTTGGTTGACGTAATTAAAGCTGAGAGTAATTTGTGCTTGTTTCCCAGATCTACATAACAAACCGCACGGAAAACCAACCGTTTGTTTATTTTTTTAAAGAAGAATGGCATAGATAGCTACATGAGTGCATATTAATACCAGGAAGTTGAGGTATCGACGCGTTTATATGAACCATGTCAAAGCAAAAGTGGCACCTTCTTGATAACAAAGCAACAAAATGTCAGTTTTATTATACTTTTTCCAAGGTTGTAATTAATGAAGCTCCGATTTGTTCCGGTAAATATAAATAAATTGCAATCTTTTCAATTAATTTTTTCGACGCACTATGCAAATAGGAGTTTTTCCGATCGCTTTTTGACAATAAATAATGATGCATCGTGCACATACGCAACACCAAGAAGTTTAGAAAAAACTGATGATGGATGCTATCGAGCGATGATTTATTAAGACGCCGCTCACGACCCCTTTCCGAGACAAAAGCTGTGCCAGAAATGACAATTTTCCGGTTGTGGACAAAAGTGAGCGTTTGATTCGCACGCAAGTGATGTTTGTTAATTACGGATCACAGTAATGCAACGTCCTACATAGAAATGTGGGATTGTGTGACGGTTTATCAAAATACGTGTAGAACACTTTCGCTGAAGTGTCGAATTTTGCGCTAAGTGAGCGCAACGAGTTTTTTAGTGTGTGTGGTTAATTGTTAACATCGTTTTTCTGCAAGCATGTTGTAAGGTTAATTGTAGTGTGCGAGTCTACACGGAATTTTTAGTTCGCGTAACAACGTGTAAACAGCAAGGAAATAGATTTTGTACTCGATTGACTATCAATTTGTGAAATAACTTGACTGAATTGACTATGAATATGCATTTCTCATTAGAGCAAATGACAGATCGATCATCTTTAATTTATGATTAATTAACGTTTTCATTGAGGCTTAAAAATTGACAGGGTACTCGGCAGCGTATTGTAACGTAAGGCATTATGTTAGTAATTCAATTAGCATAGCATATTGATAGTCATGTGTCACGCTTTAAAACGGGTATAGAAGCATGATATTATTTCAGGCTTAGGGCAATTAAGGGGCATGAACACAGATTTTTTCGCTGGTGAGTAAAACTTAATGAAAATCTGGAAAAAAACTATAATTGAAAGTGAAAATTATTTATCACACACATCCGCATTCTATTGCAGTCATTTCAGAAGCTCATTTCCCTCATTCGCATATTAAATGTTATGACAGACATAAATACTATGATGGTTCATCGCACTGTACTGTAATCACGCAATCGCCGACACATCTGTCATAATTAAAAAAATATTTTTCAAACAAAACTACACCAACTTTAATGATCTGTTAAATTGTTAAAAGTCGGTGCTGGCGACCACACAGTAAGATACATTTTTCTCCCTAGAAAAGGACTAAAAACCCAAGGATGCCTCTGGACTAAAATACGTATCGGGTGGTGCATTCTTACACACTTGCCTCAAGCTTAGCAATTTACCGACTGCTGACTACTTATTAACACTCAAACAAAAGAAAATTTGCATCGACATGCAATACTGAACGCCAGATTTTTATTAACCATATTGCCTCATTAAAACTATTTGTTCTTATCTACAATACCCACAAAAAATAAAACGTTAAATAAACAAGGATACAAGAACTTAAATCAATATTGAATTTTTAAAGTAGATATAAAAATAACTCATTCAAAATTAAAAAATTCATTACCTTTTCTATAGGTCCATCTAGTTTAAAGTTTAAAAAAATAAAAAAACTAGAAATACTGCATACAGGATATCCCAGGTAAAGAAAAAATAAGACATTTACTAATAATTAGAAAAATGCGTTTTTTAATGAAATTAGAAAATTTAAAAATTCGTTTTATACTTTTTTTTTTTTAATTTTGTGGAATTTCGAAATTTACTTACCATTAGAAACATTTGTAACGTAAATAAATTTTTTCAATTTCTTACGGAGATAAGTGAATTCAGCAAATGTAGAAATAAGTGAGTTAACTTTTCATGAGCTTGCAAAAACAGATGAGTTAGTGAAATGGGTTTTATTTGATTTATGGCTCTAAGAAAGATGTATTTGTTTACCATAAGCTCAAAAGTCAATCTGCGTTTGTAGAAAATATTAACCGAAACTCTCAACACACATATAAGTAAAAAATATTGCTTTTTGTTCATTAATGTCACTTCTTAGGCGGGATATACGATTGAAACTTTTTCGAAATTTATATATTAAAAAAAAATGATCCCGTTTCGTTTGAAGTGAAGTCAATTTATTTTTTGCTTGCTGAAGCTGCCGCTGTATATTTACATACCCACATTAAGCTAAACGTCAACAGTAATCATCATAATTTGTCATAAAGTTTATGTTGTGTTTCCGATTAGAAATGCAAAATAAATATTTTATTAGTTTATAACATCATTTCTGATCAGATATGCATAAAAGTCATAATTAAAAGTAGTGACTTGTACATCCTTTTGACATAATTTATGGTACTAAAAGTTGTCATAGACATTGGCATACATTGAGAATTAGATAAAACATAAGCTGGTTTTGATTACCATAATGTTGGAAAATACAGTGCAAATTAACTAACAGTAAAGTAAATCTTCGTTTCGGAGCACCTAAGCCATCGTATGATTCTATCGACTTATTTGAATAGATAAAATGGCATTTTGAGAATTAAATTTCTAGCAAAAACAAAATTATAATTAGCGATCTCGCCCACACGTGTCGTGACTGACTTTAGATCGTAATCTTATTATGAGAAATTGTGTTAATTTTAAAACAACTAGTTGTGTAGTAATTG